CGTATGGCTTAACACATTACAAGATTCTTAGAATGAACAAAGTCTTGCAACTTCAACTGCTATTGTGTTGCTGTATTGTATTTTTCAACTGCTATTGGGTTGAAAAATCATACAAGGTAAAATTTGTGATTATAACAGTGAATAATATTTTCTTAGAAATTCTTCAAATACAAATTTTGAACTGTATTCTAAACTTCAGGTTTCTTGTCACATATTATATTATGACATTGTAATTTGCAAGTTTAATATTTCGTATTGATAATGTGCAGTTCCGTCATCCCTCCACTTTCATGAGTTTCACATTCATGGTTTTGATTATTTACATGTTTGTGCCATTATCACTGCCTTCCAAAGTTGGGGCGGCATTGTAAATGTCCGTAGGAAGTGAGCAGGGAAGTTGTTTAGAAGGTGGGTCTGCCCCATGTTTCTGTTCCACCCGAGCAAAAGAATGGAGGTATTGGTGGGAACAGAAATATGTGACAAACAGGAAGTGCCCCATTCCTTCTCAGGAGATATTCACATTTTTTCTACTTTTTGGGGGAGCTGCACATGTAAACCCCTTCAAAGCGGAGGGGCAACTGTTGTTAAATTGGCAGTTCATGTTGGAATAGATTTTGATTTCCTGGTTTCATGCTAGTATATACCAGCCCTAGAAATTGAGAATCTTAGGTGGAATCTAGAAGGCAGTTGAATTTGTAGAGAAGATAATGTGTATCTTGTGCCTGAAGTCAAGCTATTATGGCATCTTATAAAATATTTTTTACAGATTATGGCATTTCATGTCCATGCTCATTATGGAAGAGATGGTTTGGGGAGCCATTTTATGCTGGAAAAGTGCAATATGCATTTATATAAATAAGTATCATCTGGATTTCTTCATAGCATCTTCCATTTTTCTACGTCTTAAAAATGACTTGAAGGCAAAAAAAAAAAATCTGAATAGTGTGGAATCCCTAAATTATGCAAGGAGGAATGTTGTGTCTTTTCGTTATCTGGGAATGAGGTGATTCTTCACTGGCATTTTGAATTACCTGCTGATTACATGCCATTGCTGATTCCCCAATTTGTATGCTGTCCAGAATTCTTAAACATTCTGTTTCCTTATGCCACCAGCAATCTTCAGAGTTTTAGACGAGAAAATTGTATCTCCAAATACCTAGAGAATAGTTAGAAAGATATTATTATATTGAATTATTGTACATCAGTTTGGAGTAGTAGCAGTGATTATTTTATTTTGTGAATGTTTTGTAGGGACCTGCTATGAATTAAATAAACCACCCTCACATCTAAACTTGTCTTTGGTAATTTTTTTTTAGGGTGTACAGATATTGTTGTTTTCATTGTAAGATTTCCAAATAAAATGAAAACAAGATTTTCAGGAAGGAAGTTAGCAACTCCTTTTCTCCCCAACAATGGTTAAAAGTATTTTCAAGGAGAAGACAAAGACTATGCGTTTTTATAAGCCTTAAACTCTTTTTATAGCTCATTTTACCACCACGCCCTCAAGAATTTTAGCCATTATATTGTGAAGACACTGAGTGTAGTGCTTCCTCACAGTACTGAAGTTCTCTCACAAAACTATAGTTCTGGGAAGGGGAAATATTTATTAATTCAAACATGTACTCTGGAATACAAAGAAAACGAAGATGATGCTGAATATTTCTGCAGTGGGTGATACATCAGTTGGTATACGAGTCTGAGACCACACACCTATTTGTTTTGCTGTAGTGGACCTGTGGTGGAACTACGGTAGTGTTAGTGACATTTTAATTAGCATACGTGAAATTACAACAATACATTCTTGTAAGTCTTTTGGGGATTTATAGTGATTTTGCCCATGCTATTCAACTACCTTAGTTGCTGAGAGGAAAATTATTGTCTCCATATCCAACACAGGGATGGGGAATTGTGGAGGTGCGGGCATTTTTCGCTCAAAACTTTTTTGAAGTCTGTTTGTTGGACTTAATGATAATGGTTTTGATTTTGGATATTTTTTCTGGCATTAAAGATTTATGGGTATTGAGAGTTCTGCGGCCAAACCTCCTTCATTCTCCAATGTTATTGCTAAGGAAAAAATTATTCTGAAATAAGTTTTTTTAAATGGGATGGATGTGGGCTTTAGGAGCAGCAGTGTTAATTAGTGGTTTGTTTATTGGGCTAGGATTTTTAAGAGAATGAAATTTGAATATCTGCTAGTCATGGAAACTCACAGCATAATCTCCAGCAGGCCATGCTCCACCAGCTCAGAATGGCAGGCGTGCTTGGAACAAATCTTTGAGAGGGTTGCAATAATTTGGAATCAGTTTGAAGCCACATCACTATAAAAACAAAAACAATAAAAACAATATGTGGTCTGTGGAGTACAGCTTACCATCCCTTGTCTAGGCACTCTGTGAAGTAAAAATTCATTGTATTTGATTTGAGTTATGGTTTGTGCTTTTCTTACATAATTAATATACTGTTGGATATTTCTGTTCTCATTGGATACTCTATTCCGATTCAATGCTATATGTGATTGTATGTGCTGAAGAAGCAGCCTATGGTGTGCCAACAAGCAAGTGCTGACAGCACTATTCAAAGTAAGCAAAATGAAAGTATGTTCAAATTTAGATTATACTGTTTGTCTACAAGACTCATGTTGACTTATGGTGACTCCATGACTTTCTAAGGGCTTTATATCATATTCCAATTATATCGTATTCCCCAACATCTATATAATGTGTTGATACAGATGTGGGAAAGTTTGGAATGTGTGTGTACATAGAAAATGTTTATAGACATTAATTATTGAAGGTACATAATGGCAACAAGTTGTTTTTTTTAGTGGAATTGGGAACTGTTGGTTTTGCTTTTCTTGATGGTGCCACACAAACAACCAAATTCTAATTACTATTTTTGATCATTTATGAACCTGTAATTCATAGGGGAACTTTCCTCTTTTAATGCAGATAGAGAAGCATTGAGCAGTAGTTGTATTTTTAAAAATGATTACCATTTAGTGTGACATCTGAAACAAAATAGTGGTGTTGAGGGCACAGTTTCCCACAATTCTGAAAAAGTTTAAAAGGTGGTTGTCAGCAGTGCCTTTTATGCTCAGAGCAGCCTGGTATGCATTACATATTTTTATTACATTGCCATCCTGACTATTGAGGCTGCTTGTTTTGATGGGAATTGAAGATGGTTTCTAGATGGTACCAGATTCAGAAAAGCTGTGTTGAATTATAAAAGTGCTGTTGAAGATGTCTGCTAAAACACTAGAAATTAATAGCTTCATGCATTGAGTTGAAGGAGAGCTCTTTGAGGAAGGAAACATTTGCCCATGTTTAATCGTAACACATTGTCAGGAAGATCTAAAACTAGCAGAGATTACACCAATGTATAAAAAATATGTCAGCCATTAAAATAATAACTCTGACTTCAAAACACCTTAAAACGCAAATTTGGCACCAGCCAGATTTAATGGCGAGTTTATCCCGTAATTAGATTAAGATGAGATGACTCCTGAAAAGGATCACTCTGCTGTAGTTATTTGCTGTTCTCAGACAGAACAAACACTTGGAGCAACCCCCTCTGAAAGTAATGACAGATTATGAATATAAAGGAAAATGCATTTCTTCAGGTTCTGTATCCCATGCCCTGAAAGGTTGACTAGATCTAGAAAGGTAATAGGAACCAGTGAAACAGACATAATACTGGCATAATAGGATCATATTGTCACTTTTCAGTCAGTATCCTAGTTGCTGTATTTTCTACTATTGTACTTGACATTTCCAGACCATTTTGGGGATAGTCCTATGTACAGTACATTGCAGTAATCAAACAGAACAGTGCTAGTACATGAATAGTGGAGTCTAAGCTGAACCTATCTAGAAGTAGCTGTACACTGGCATAAGATGGTAAAAGGAATTCCACATTGGAGAGAATACTTGTGCCTTGGTCTATGAGCACCTCAAGCCATGAATGTGGTTCATCAAGGAAGGTGCAGCGTCTTAAAGAACAAGCTGAACATTCTTCATCCTATCATATGTGGAACTCTTTGAATCTGGAAATCAAGACTTAATATGATTATGTACTGTTGTTATTGTATACCTTCAAGCCATTTCGAAATTATAATGACCTTAAGGAGAACGTATTATGGGTTTTTTTCTGGTAAGATTTGTTCAGAGGGAGCCTTTACCTTCCTTTGAGGTGCAGAAAGTGTGACTCCGGATTGGAGAATCTGTGGTTGCTGCATATTGTTCCTATCATAGGCCCGGAGGTCATAAGTACAAAAATTGCAATGGTTGCATCCCTGCCATATACAGCGACTGTATGAAAGCATTAAGGGCGACGCTGTACAAGTACGGTAGAAGAAAATTCATTCATCAGGAGTTTTGGACTTAATGCAGCCCCGATGGTGAGGTGAAGGAGCGCTTCACCGGGAAGGTGTAAGTGAGCAGGCTGCAGGCATCCGGGAGAACCCGGGGTATGGAAAAAAGAGATAGAGTGGCTCTGGGCCCAGAAAAACACAGCTCTTTTACCTGTCTGGCCCGCCCTTTTATCCTATTACCGTATTTCCTCCTCTGCCTCTCAGATCTGAAGAATGCAGTGAAGGCAGGTGTGCATGTGCGATATCTGAGAGGCAGAAAAGGTACAGTCATAGGAAAATTACCATACTGAAATGTGCTTTGGTTATTAGATGCCCTGAAAGATAGATGTATGACCTATCTGTCTCATCTTGGAGAAAATGGGTGTTTGGCACATAGATCACAAGTATACTTGTTGTGGTACATAGCCCCATCCCGTATATAGAAGTATTGCCCTCCATTCCTCATTGGATGCTGTTTTTGTTAAGTTTCTTTGATCAAGTCTATTCTAAGCTGCAGAATGGCTGGCCTTGGAGAGAGAAAATTGGTGAAGTGTGCATTGACTCAGCATTTGAGAATGTTCAAAAAGATATTGTAACACATTGCTTCATGACAAAAATATACATGTCTAATGATCCCCCCTGTTTTCTTTAGTCAACAGATAAACAACGGGCCCTAGAAGAAACCAAAGCATACACAACTCAGTCTTTAGCTAGCGTAGCTTATTTGATCAACACCTTGGCCAACAATGTTCTCCAGATGCTGGATATCCAGGCGTCGCAGCTTCGGCGCATGGAATCTTCAATCAACCACATTTCACAAGTGAGATGTTGTTATTTATGTTTGCCTTAGTCGTATGCAAAAATACGTTGGGTAACATTGAATTTTGGTGATCTTGAGGATCTGAATTCAGAAGCAATATCTCTGCCTACTCTAGTTCAATGTGAGTCTGATAATAAATGTGTATAATCCTCATATATACCCTTCTCAGAGGACTGGTGAGATACCAGTAATAACTAAATATCATGGTAATTGCTACAAATAGAACATTGAAGATTTTGTCATATTAGATGGATCCAGAAAAACTGCTTGAGTCTTATTTACTAGCCTTAAAATGTAATAACATTACTTCAGAATTATGTTTTTTGCCTTAAAATGACAACTATATATATTTTTTTAAATCTCTGTGTAGTGGATTATGGGCGCCGGGGGTGGGGAAGATTCCAGCTGTCTAGATTTCCTGCTGATCTGATTATGTTTAATACTAAATGTATTAAATTATCTTTGGGATCAGAGGACTGTAGATTATTTAAACCAAGTTTGACTACATGATTGGAAATGCCTATGACTGGTGATCTACAGTTACTATTTGTGAGCATATTCAGGAAGAAGCGTGGTTCACATTTCTAGTAGTGACATCTCTTTTAGGACAGCTTCTCAAATTTATTTTTCTGACAGATATTTATTACCATAATTGAAGGAAAACGTATAAAAATATGATAATGACCATGAAAATGCATGTCACACACATATCAAATGTAATAAGAGCCAAGGGCAAGCTTTTAGATCTTACTTGGATTGCTTAATTATAAGACAGTGCCATTAGCCCTTTGTTTCTGTGAATAACATTCCTGTTATAATGAAATATAATGGACTTTTGCCATGTCATTTAGATGAATGTGATTTTTTTTGTCGTGTCAAGAGCGACTTGAGAAACTGCAGGTTGCTTCTGGTGTGAGAGAATTGGCCATCTGCAAGGACGTTGCCCAGGGGACGCCCAGATGTTTTGATGTTTTTTCATCCTTGTGGGAGTCTTCTCTTATGTCCCTGCATGAGGAGCTGGAGCTGATAGAGGGAGCTCGTCCTTGCTCTCCCCGGATTCGTACCTGTGACCTGTCGGTCTTCAGTCCTGCCAGCACAGGGGTTTAAGCCACTGCGCCACCAGGGGTCCATGAATGTCATAATACCTAGTAATATAAACCAAAAGTTACATTAAAAGAAGATTTGTATTAATTTAAGTAAAACAAAATGATATAGGTATCTGTGATGTGATGAAGGTGGTGGTGATACTAACTAGCTTTGTTAATTCATGTTAATAATAATTTAGTTAATAACTTTGATTTGCAAATTTATGTTTGCAGACCGTTGACATACACAAAGAAAAAGTGGCTAGAAGAGAAATTGGCATCTTGACTACTAACAAAAATACTTCAAGAACTCACAAAATCATTGCGCCAGCCAATCTGGAGAGACCAGTTCGTTATATTAGAAAACCTATTGATTATACAATTTTAGATGATACTGGGCATGGGGTAAAGGTAAGTAGTGTTGAGAAATAATTCTAAGCTGTTAATATGCTTGTATACTTCAGAATGCAGATGTTTGTGTGTGGACTCCCTTCCTTTTCCAAATATCAGCATGGATTCTCGATTCTTACAGTAATTCTAAGCGACCCCCTATTATGATTCCTCTGTCTGTTCCCTTTCAAGAACACATCTCCATAAAAACCTGCGTGTTTTGGCTGTTTGTGATATCTGCATTTTGAGAAATCGATGGAAAACTTTTACCTTATAAGGCATTTTGTGGCTGATGTCAGGTGCACCCCTGATATCAAAGAGTAACTCTGTGAAAGCAGTCTGTGTGCTCTTCCTTTTCTGTTTACCTATCCCAAATCTTGCAAATCTTACTATTCGCATGGCATTTGCCTTGTCTCACACCAATCCCATGATTTCCTGTGTTAGAATTTCTTAAATCTGAAAACAAGGATTAGTATGCAAATGTCTAGACCACTGGGTGTGTAGCTCTTACAGCACTTAAGCACAACCAAATTTTTGCTTCATTTTAAAATTGAGGTACGTGTACACTTTGTCTGCATGGTGTGTGTAGGTACACATTTGGAAGCATGTACACATTTTGTTCCCTTCCTTGCATGTCGTTTCCCAAAATGTGTCCCTGAAATAATGTGAATAGTTGTGAGGCTGACAAAGTGGGGAAATTCCAATCAGAAAGGAAAGGCTAACGTGTATAGGAGTGATTTGCAAGACCGACTCTTCTTTTGTCACTAGAGCTGCAGCAAGGTAATGGTTCAGTAATATGCCATGCTGTTTATTTCTTTGAGAATTATTCGAGCTTACAGAGAAATCCATTTCCTCTTGTAGTTCTTCTGTACTACATAGATTACTTGCTACTTCACAAGTCACTTAATATGAAAAATACTTCCAGTGAAGAATAAGAGATCAAACTTGACCCATAAGCATACATGTCAACTTGACTCCTATTGTAGCTACCTTGAGTTCCACTTTTGGAAGAAAAACTGTGGGATGTAACTGAAGCAACTGATTGAATAAAAAAAAGCAATACAGTAGCTTAAGAATACCTCAACTTGTATTATACAAGTATATTCCCTTATTCTTTTCTGCATTCCTGTTTCATATTGCTTAAAGTAGCCTATACATTTTAAGTTAATTATTGGCTTTATATATTAGTAGATTCAATATGTAATCTAGCAACTGTTGCAATTAATGTGTATGGCAGCCCTATCGTAAATATGAGGTGTAGAGCAAGCATCAGTTTCTCAAGTGTTAAAAAGTAAACTGCTGTGCCAGTTATATTCACATCATTGCAGTGAGGCAACAACATTGTTGTCTGTTTGATTTATGGGAGTATATTCTTTGTTTGGTTTTCTGTAATATAACCAATAAGGAGACAAGTATTTAATAACAGCAAGCAGACATTCCCCATCTGAAAGGGAATGTGTAGATATCACACTGCACTGGAAGAACAAAAAATACATTGCAAAATATTGAATATATTATGCTATATTTAGTAATCAGTATCGGACACAGTTTAGTATTGTGTAATGACTTTTGCTTGCTTGCTGTCTTGCACCTTCCAGATCTGCTTGGGACACCCCTAACCCTTGAGAACAGATAGCACACAGGATGGGTAAAATGGGAGATGGAAATTCTACTCTGTTTGTAAAGTTTGTTCTGGTGAATGAAAATATAAACTAGTAGCTTTCCCCCCAAACATGAAAATGAATTGGAAGAGAGTAAGATTTAACCACCTATCTTCCCAGGGCAAACTTCTCTGAATTAAGCACTGTTAGTGCCCTTTAGCAGAAGAGCAAGATAAAGAAAAAGTATTTGTAGAGAACTGTATAGGGAGATTACTTAAATCTGTAGTTTTTTTTTGGGCGGGGGGGGGGGGGGGGGGAGATCAAGTACATTTAATTCTGCAAGAGGGAATCACTTGCAGGACAGGACAAAGACATCAGGTATATCATCTTCCTGGTGGAAACCATATTTTAGTTATATTTTCAATGTGTAGCTTTTATTTTGGCCACAAGACCTGTTTGCTTATTGGATGTAACAGATTACAGATTTTTAATTATATGCTTTAATTTAAGGAGTTAAAATGTCAGCTGCTACGTAAAAGTGATACAGTCAACTACAATTTATGCAGTTCTATCATTAAAGTGTTTATGCAAGCTGCATAGCCTAGCAAGTGAAAGATTTCTGATGCATCAGATTTGCAGAGGGTTATATCTGGTAATGCTCAATGTTTCTAGTATTGCATGAGAGGCGTGAAATATGCCACATTCTTCTCAAGAGAAAAGAATTCAAGTGCAATATTCTGATTTTCTGCAATCTATTCTAAGTAAATTTAATTTTCCAGTAGTTTCCTTAGTAACAAGATTGGTTGGCAGAAGAGAATTAATATTTTCTGTTATGTCTCATGAAACAGTGCTTGAAACATTGAATGTTAACCCTTTAAAATTGATCGTGTCTTAAAATTGTTCTGTTAGTCTATAATGTAATAAATAATTCCTCTTGAAAACCTTTTGTTCATGAGACATTCTGCTTTATCACTCTTTCTATGATCTACTGATACATTATTTTGTTGATGTTAAATGCTTAACTTCTTTTTCCTTTCTCTCTCCATATTCTGAAGTTTCAACTAACTTTTCAATGCTTTTCTTTCTTACCTCTTTTATTTGCTTCATTTATGCATTAAGTGGTTGCTTAGATTTAAGGTAAGAAATGACAGGACTGGATGTCATTCTTCTTCTTCAGACTGTTACATATGGGGAGAGTGTTAATTTTTCACAAGGCATGGGAATTATGCAATCTCAAACAACTACCTTTAGGGCTTTTTGGTAAAATGTTGCATACAATATCTGAATAATTAACAGAAAAATAAGATGGAAATTTATTCTTAGACCTCCCCCTCTGTAATAATCTTTTTGTCTGTTGTATGATGTGATTTGGCTGCTTTTTTGAATGGTATTTGAGTTTGCAAGCATTTCCTATCTTGAAAATTCAACAGTAAATTGAGGCATGCCTCCCCCTTTCTTACATTATTGAGTAGCTGTTTCTAGCTGCTGCATCAGAAGCAATACCCGCAATCCATTTGTTAGTTTAGTTTTAGCAGAATTGTAGAATGGAACAAATATCTGAAACCCCATCTACACTGCCATATAATACAATATGAACCTGCATTATATGGTCAGTGTTGACTCATATAATGCAGTGTAACTTCATTGAACTACATTATATGAGACTACAGTACCCATAACATGCAGTTTCAAACTGCATTATATTACAGTGTAGATGGGGCCTCAGTCAGGCAGACACTCTAGTTTTCTAAGTTTATTGTCAGACTTAAATATGAGCGATACTAAAGAGGTAGTGGACAATAGGAAGTTGGCTTTCCTATCCTTCAGCCTGTAGACCAGCTATGTCACATTGATCTCAGGTTTTCAGGAGGCTTTCAACAGAAAAAAATGTTCATTGCTTTACTCATGCTTTTGTCAAGATATCTTTTGAGACTATAATGTATTGTATCTTATTATGTGACAACTGTGTTTCCCAAGGCTGCATTTGAAAGGGTTTTTTTCCTACAGAGCTTAAACATTATGAATTGTATTGTTCCTGTCTTAAAATGGAAGTGTTTCAAGGTTTGTCTGATAGCTGTATATTCTAGGGCAGAACCAAAGGCATTGGCAAACATCACCTCAATGGCACTCACGTGGAGTTTTCTTGCCGGCAGCATGGGACAGGGCTGCTTAATGTGTTTTTACCCTGTGTTACGCAAGGTCTGGGAATGCTCTGGAGCTTCCCCAAAGTTCTGGAGCAGTTCTGCATTTTGAGGTAGTGAAAATAGTTGAGCCTGCTGTTCACATGGCTGTCCTCTGCTTTCGGTTGGCTCTGCAGCATGGGGACAGAGGGGTGGCACCTACTCTTGTCGTTGTAGCAGAGGAAATGGAGCTTCAAAGAGCTCCTGGCCATCCCTGGGTACCCTTGCTGATGTTAGTAAGGGTGGCTATGTGACCTGGAGAGCGGATGGGGATTGCCCCCTTCTTTCCTCCTCCTCTCTTCAAGCTAACAAGGGCACCCAAGGGACGGCTGGGAGCACTTTGAAGCTCTATGACTGTTGCTACAACAGTGACAGGACAACAAAGGTAAGGGTGGCTGCCCAGTCAAGCCAAATTCAGTTCAGTCCTACTGGTTGGCCAGGGCTCTCTCCTGCCATTACTGTGGGATGGGGGCAGGTAGTGTAGCTTCTCCAGGAACTGGTGTGAAGTATTGCACTTTGAAACAGTCCCGGCTATTCCTGCCTGTGTAGATGCTCCTAAGAAAGCCTTTTTTTCTTAGAGGGCTACATTCCTTCACAAGCCCTTTCTCGACAAACTGCTTGTCAGTATTTGGCACAGCCAGAACCATCCCACACTTTCTCTATTAAAAATATTTCCTCTCACTAATATAGACCCTTCCCATTGTGGGGAGGGGGGAGATGGGTTTGGGATGTGGAAATACTCACCCCAAACATTTCAGCGTCTATGTATTCACAGTTCTTCAGGATACCCACTCATTCATGTATGTGAAGTAAGGACATTAAAAAAACTATCTGGCTAGATCCATACTTTGAAAATCACTTTATTAGTCCATGTGGGGGAAAGAGCTGTCCGGTTCCCCAATTGGATAGAGATTGAAGAAGCGGAGCAGGCTAATTTAGCGCAGATTTCATGTAGCCAATGGGACTCCAGGTTTCCTATGGCTTTCTGTAGTTTAGGATGTAATCGGTCTAATGCGGTCACCGAGCACTCTTATCATATACAAGTTACAAGAGTGTTTTGTCTTGTGTAAGTGTTGTTGAGACAATCCTCTGCATGGTTTTTAAGGCTGAGATCCTACTATTTGCAGGTAGAGATTAATGCTCCACCACTGCAGTTCTGTTGCACTATATTACCTCTGCCCTCAGAAACCAGTTTTCCCAATGCTGGATCCCACCCCCATGACTGCTGGCTAGTACTTGTGAATAAAAGAGGCGGCAGGAAGTATTTTTTTCTTCCAGCTACAAAACTATAAAATGAATACTTCTTGAGCACCTCACAGCCCCCCCCCCCCCCCCATGGGCTATGAAATGGCTCTTTTACCTTCCCCCAACTAAAAATGCATGCTATCATACTTGGTGGGGGTGTGAGCATGTAAATAATTGAATACTGAATATTGTGTAATCAACTTGCAGGTACATATTGGTTGTTTCACATCTGATATGTCAGCAGCAGGATTTGTTTGGATCCTGCTAAGTTGGAGTTTTGCCTAAGTTTCTTTTTCCAAAGTTTCTTCATCTAAGATTTGGGCTTCTCAGGAAAAACTTATCTGATAAGGGGAGTTTATTAGCACTACTACGGCATAGTCTCTTACCTCACAGAAGCATGTACTCCCACCTGCTCAAAAGGGTAGTACTGTTGGTGGTCTACCATTCTATGCCATAATACAAATAACATATAAAATCTAAGTTAAAAAAGAAGAAGTTTCCATTGTTTCCAGGAGCAGATCAATTATCAGTGAACCTAAACCCAACCTTTGCTTACTCCCACAGGAAAAACAGAGATAGTTGAGTGGTCCTCTGGATCAAGATCAGAGAATTAACCTGAGATAGTAATATATTGAATGTAGTTTATTGCAGCCTAAGACATCTGTGGAATTGTTTATGTTCTGTAACACTAGTGCAGATTCTTTTGGTGGCGTAACCCAGTTGTTCTTTGGTCCTTCAGATGTTTTGGATTCCTGTTCCCTAGTATCCCTGACCATTGGCTAGATTGGCCGAGAGGCTTCTAAGGGCTGCAGTACCAAACACATAGAGATCTAAAGTTTGAGAACCATATGGTTATAATGTCCACAATCGGACTTCAAACAAGTTCATAGATCTTCTTTTGTTTGCACCAGTTCAGGAGCTTTATTTAGCTAATCATAGGTTTCTGTTTTATGTACCTGAGATAGAATAGTCAAAACATATGCTTCAAGTTAAGGGCATTTGTCATGACATGTCTATATATTATTTACTTGGATGATGCAGTTCTCATACCATTAAGATTTCCACTCTAAAGCTCTTTAGAGATTGTTCCGAAGTATTTTAATCAGCCCATTTTTTGTTTGGTCCCTAACTTAAACTGTCCAAGCGTTTGGATAGTTTTCCAAATAGAACATGCATTGATTCAGTCATACAGAGAGTTTATTTTTCAAACTTTAAATTGGCTTGGATCTTGCACCGGGACTGTGGTGCAGCTGGCTGGGATTCAGCTGCATTAAGATCACTACTGACCGAAAGGTCATGGGTTCGAAGCCAGCCTGGGTCAAAGTGAGCTCCCGACCAAAATTATGTAGCTGGTTGTCGACCTTTGCATCTGTCAGGTAGGAAAATTAGGCACCACTTTGTGGGGAGGCTAAATTAACTGATTTATGAGGCCATAAAAAATCTCCAGGAAGTATGCAAAGAATGAGGAAGTGACAGCTCCCCTGGTGGCCAGAAGCTGGAAAGTTTAGCCTCTGAGTGTCTGTCTATATATGTTGTGTGTCTATGGCATTGAATGTTTGCCATGTATATGTACATTGTAATCCGCCCTGAGTCCCCTGCGGGGTGAGAAGGGCGGAATAGAAATACTGTAAATAAGTAAACAAATCTTACGGAGATAGCATTATAGGTTAAAACTGCATGATTTAACACTTTTTCAGTATATGTTAATGTTGGTTTGAAAGCTATTCTGCTGGGGTCTTTTTCTCATGATCCTAATACCTACTTACAGAAATGTTCTTTAAAAAAGAAAAGAAAAGAAAATTAGATCTGGAACCCAGGGTATTCCATAAAACTTGTGGATATTTTAGGTTGACTTCAGTTGTTTTTTTAATTAAAGAGTACAATTTAGTAGTTTTTATTTCAAGGTCCCACAAACAGGCTGAGGTCTGAAGCCAGGTTGGCTGAATTTCTTAATCGGAGTGATGGCAATAGCAAACTTTTTCTGGTCAAAACAGGTTATTATCCAACCTAGAGTAGAAGCACTAACTCCATTGCTGAATATTGTAGTGCTACAGTGAGTCCATTCTAAATTGGGACTGGCAATTGGGTGTAGACCCCATAAGACATTACAGTCTCTCTCGTTCATGATTTATGTGGTTGTAAGCAAGAGGTTTTTTTTTTCTTAGATCAGTTCACATTGATGGTAATCCCCATAAGACATGCCATTATTCACACCCCATATTTGCAGCACTGTCATCAGCATCTCATAAAACTGATCAATAAAATAGATTACAACCTGCTGGTGAAATGATCATTTTCTGGCAATAAATACTAGGAAGATCATCTCTTTCTCTCACACACACTTTTTTAAAGGTCAAGCTAATTTGATCAGATTGTTGCAAGTAAAATTGCATATGTTACGAATGATGCTGATTTGTAAAAGTCTTTAATGCAGATCTAAAGCATCACAATACATAAATATCTTAAATATCTTTATTTTCAGCAACATTAGGCTGTTAATTTAAGATTCAAAGGATTAAACAGGCCGCTTTATTAATGATTTGCAGCTACATTTAGCAGACTCTCTGGCATTTTGGCTCTTCCCTGTTTTGCTTTCCTTTCTCATTGCAACAGTATGAACCATGGTAATGGTGTCTAAAGATGAATCTGGCATGTAGCAGAAAGAACAAGCTCTTCCGTTCTTAGTTTAGAAAGCAACTAGTCTACAGCTGTTATGAGAAATGGCTTTGGTGGATGCTTGTTGGTCATTGTAGCTCCTATAAACCTTGTAGAGAGAGAGGCACTGGAAGGAACTCTACCAAATGAACATGAATGTGCCCTTACTTGCAAGGACAATGGACGCCATTGGTACAACAGCACTGGTTGTCCCACTTTAACACTTGTGCCTGTTTCTTTGGAACAGATCTGCTAGTTTCAGCAGAATGAGAGAGATTCATTGAAGCTTGGCAAAGCATTTATACCCTCCTCCCACCAGAAATGGGGATACTAGATTTATTGTATTTCACGAATCATTGGCTTTTATCATTCCCATTCTTGGGTTTCTGTTGTACTTATTTTAAAAGAGCTTCAGATAATTAAGATCTTACTCTCTGTGGTAGGTATGCCTAGTAAAATTCTGTGTAAAGCTCTAAATGAAGAAATGAGTGGTTTTCTGGATGTCAATTCATAATTGCCTGGAGGGGCACTTCTTATATTACGCTGTGACTAACTTGTACTGTCTAATGCTTTAGGTGGCAGGAAATCTCAGCCACAACCAGCTGTTAGGCATGTGGATCTGTCCAATTGAAAACCCCTATTTGTCTTGCATACTCACATGGCAATACATATGTAACCTAATTATGTGTTTCCAGTGTACACATAGGCTGCCTTGTATATCCATTTCCATGTAGTAAACCTGTGTGAGCTCAATGTGGTTTCCTCCTGAAAATATACTTAATAAAGTTTCTGAGCTAGAATTATAATCAGAGAAGTGGTTCTGCATTGAGCTGAGAGGACCACATTTTTGTGGTGTGCATGGAAAGTTCAGCATATCTTACTGCAGTTAAATGGATGTAGAGTGCAGACATATGAACATACTTGTTTGGATAAGCCTGAAATATTTTCTGTGCTCTGGCACACTGCTAGCGATCCAAATTTATATCCGATGGCCTAAAAGCACATGCAACCAGAACACCTCTTAAACACACCATATAACCATATGTTCTTTGTGTGTAGCTAATAACTTTGAGCATGGCGTATAAGTATTTTAAATAGAGCATTTCAAAATAATTTGCCTCCTTTAAGTTTGGGAATAAAATAATACAGCAGTAAATATGAAAAATGTAAATCAGTTGGGGAAGGAATCTTGTTTCATCCTTATTGTTTCCTTGAAGTTTCAGGACGGTCTGTTTTTCTTCCCATTACCTCTCATGCAGGTTAGTACACAGAATATGAAAATGGGTGGTCTCCCTCGTACCACACCTCCCACCCAGAAACCACCCAGTCCACCAATGTCAGGGAAAGGAACCATTGGGTAAGTACACCTTTATGTTTGCCAAAAGGTGGATGGGAAAGATGCCAAGGGAGCAGATAGAAATCATGTATTACTGTTGCTATTGCCTGGTGGCTCGTAAGTGGTTAAAAATGGCATTGTGGGATTTGGAGATGTCTTTTTTGTGTACTTAGTAAGCAGATAACGTATGCATACTATAGCCAAGAGAAGGTAATAAGCCAAGTAAATTCCTGCAGGAGCCTTTTATGTTTTGTTTATAGTATAGGCCCTGTTTTCTGTTGTATACCTGGAATAAGTAGCTGACCTATAGTAACCTATAGTACATGAACAGAAAAAAAAATCTGCAGGTCTAGTTAGAGGCACCAAAGACATGGTGTTAGGATGGGGAAGGGCCTTATAGGCTCAGTGGACTCGTGCCTCCCTCTTTACATCCCCGTACCCCATCTTCCTGCATGTGCACAAGCGTGGCACATATGTCACAGCTAGGCCGGCAAGAGAAAATGGTTGCTCTGTGTATGCCTTCTGCATCTTTATCCAGCCTACCTTCTCTGCTCAGTACAGATTACGTGCACACCAGAAGACAGCCCATTTTGCGATGAAAGGCAGAGGGGCCTGGATGAGGTTGCAGGAAGTGTGCACAGATCCTTGTGCACCTATTGCACGTATACCAGCAGGGGAATATTGGACTGTCTTGAGCGTAAGGGGATCCTCCTCCGGTGCTGCACCGGCACTGGACTGGGTTCTGCCCTATGCATTTTCAAACCTTTCAGTGAGCAGGAATTATACACAACCTTGCCCCAAGGTCTTTGGTGTATTTCATTGTCTGAAATTGCTTCCATACGTATATGTTTTTCTTGTGTAGGCGCCACTCTCCCTATCGCACACTGGAGCCAGTGCGTCCTCCAGTGGTACCAAATGACTATGTACCTAGCCCAACCCGTAATATGGCTCCCTCGCAGCAGAGCCCTGTTAGAACAGCTTCTGTGAATCAGAGGAATCGCACTTACAGGTATTCAGTCTGCTCCTGCGCCAAATATTAACAGTAATTAAGACACGCAACACCGTGTATAGCCATCTGCTTTTAACCCCCATCCCTCACTTAGACCTTCATAGGTTCATGTGATTTCCTGGGAAATCCATTGGGAGTCTAAGGGAAACCACGCTGCTTATAGTACATGTTGTACCGTGTAAAATGGTTTGTCTAAGAAGTGTTTGTTCAGAAGCAGTATGTATACATTTGACTCGCTGACTTGTGCAACAGGAAAAATAAGGTCTTTGATATATTTTGCATCTCATTCAGTTTCATTATTGACCTGTCTATTCTGAAGCACTTAGTCTTTATTTTTAGAGGGTTTTTAAATATATATAGGACATGCATTTTTTTAAATGTGGCACCTGCCAACAGGAGTAATGAGGCTCCTATTCATAAAATAAATGTTTTGAAATCAGAGATTTTGTGCTGATTTTGTTGCTTTGAAGTAGAAAACTTTGAAGTGTGAGATAGTTTAGTTAGTTCAAGAAACATTTCCTCCTAGACCAACAGAAGTCAAATAATAGTTTGAAAATAGACTTGGTAAAATGACTTTCTTGTGGAAATTGGGGGAAAGGGTGCGGGAGGGGAAAAGACACGCATATTGCCGAGATTTCTTTCTGTTATCCTGTATCCTGTGTTGTGTCTGTATTTCCACTGGGAAGAGAAGAGGTAAAACCAGCTTTCTACTGAGGTTGGTCCTTTTTCCACCCAAAATGCTAGTGCTTTTGGACACCTCCTAAAATGTTTTAGGCATGCTTAGACATGAACAAATGAGTTTAGAAAAGTGTCGTGGTTTTGGTCTTCAAGTGCAAATTCAGCAAGCTTTTTATTGTAAGGCTGTTTTGATAAGACTTGCACTAAATGGAATATAGATATCCTGGTGGTTTGATTTCTTCAGCAGCAGTGGAAGCAGTGGAGGGAGTCACCCCAGCAGTCGGAGCAGCAGTCGAGAGAACAGTGGAAGTGGGAGTGTAGGAGTTCCTATTGCTGTCCCTACTCCATCCCCGCCTAGTGTGTATCCAGGTAAATGGGGAACAAAGCTCACCCTGGGGTTTAGGGTGATGAACATTGTTTATCTTAGTAATTAGGCCTTGCTATGAAAATGCATATATTCTCTGGAAGGTTCATATAACCAATTCATGCAAAGTGGGTAATCCTTAACCCTGTCCAGAAACAGATCTAAATGTATGATGTATGACTCATGCCTCTTTTCTGGGAGAGGCCAAGGGAATCCATTTTGTGTAGAGGACTCCTCTGTTCCTCTGAAAAATGAACCTTTATGGTAAGTGACTATTGCTTCAATTTGGTCATCTTTCTCCAGCCTTGTGCCAAACTGGGGAGTAAATGAATGTTTTAAATTTCTTCATATGCTTCTAACAATTTTTTAAGTCTTTTTTTTTTTTACTATCCTGTGCATCCTTGGAGGGAAATTGAAGTTGTCATCTAAAGAGTAGAAAGAAAAATATATTGGCTAGATATTTCCACAAAATGTTTCTTTTTGTTTTTTTGTTTTTTTAACAAAAAATGTAAGTTTTGTACTGGGTGGCTCTTGTGATCTCTTCCAACTCTATGATTTGGACTGATGATGCGGTTGCATACCAAGATTTCTAGTCATACATCGTCTTCTGTCAGAGAAGAGACACTGGATTTGTGCAGCAGAGAACATTATTTATATATTTATCTATCACATTTCATTCCCTTAATGCATGGAATTTACACTGGTGGATCTGGATAGAGATCTTTTGTGCAAATAGAAAGTTCAAGCTTATATAGGATCTTAATTTTCCTTCCTGATTGCAATTGGTGCAGCAGGTTATCAGGTGCAAGTGCCCTCCCATTAATGTTTGGAGAAGTTAATTGTCTTCTAAAGCTGGGATGGGCAATTTTGTGCTCCAGAGATTTTTGGACTACCATTCCCATTATATCTCAAAATGGTGGCCAAAAATAATCTGGAGCACCAGTTGCTCATCCATTCTTTATACAAACAGTGTCATAATTATGAATTTCTAAAACATTATTGACACTGTTTTGAAAATATTTGAATTGTTCTGTCATTGAGTAATTGAATGAAGGAATACAGAATACCAAAATTAAGAATAATTAACTCCATTATAATTTTTCAGAATACAGTGAGACAGTGATCAATACAACAGTGCAGGTTGTATTTTGTGGCATTTTCCTGGAATACCACAAAATCTTCTCAGGATTTAAACTAGGGGCATATTGAACTATGTTTCTACATGTTTAAAGATTATTACTTGTCTGCATTAATAGAAATAGAGACATTTATGTCACTTCATTTCAGCAGATTTTGACTATGTGTTGTTTTTATACACTCAACAAAAGACAATGACATTGAAAAAGAAGTTCTGATTTATAAACAAATAATGTTTGCCATTTTCCATTTGATATTAATGTATATTTTTCACAAGCAAATAAGCACAAGTAACTGTAACAGGTCAGATTCCTGTCTCTGACTCCCTCCAGGTGCTGTGTGGACTACAAACAATTTCCAGAACTCACAAATCTGGAGGTTATTGAGAATCAGCTTATTGTTTTGAGAAATGTTTTGAGAAATGGGTATTTTGTGGCCCCTGCAATTTGAAAGATTGTCACTCCTAGGGGTTTTCGGGAATGGCAGATAACCTTTTTGTGGGAAGGGTGGCAAGGCAGGACACAAAGTAAAATAAGGTATAACAACTGAAGGGAGAGGATGTTTTAAAAAGTTATGTGTAGAATCTAAATCATGAGATTAATATTAGGGGCTAAATCAACATTTGAGCAGGATCGTTGAAACAGATGGAAACTGGTTAGCCATAACTGAATGAGGCCTCATTGACTTCTTCTGACTTATTTTACATAGGACTAATATGGGATTTACCCAAGTGAGTGGTTTCGATTTGCAGGTTTATGAGGAGAGCGTGTTTGTGTTTCCGGTTTTCTTTCTTCTTTGTCTCTTGTTTGCTGCACACCTTTTTGTCCAAACAAACATCATTCTTCTAATCCTTTTCCTGGCATATTTTATTACTGGAATGTACATAATTGATAGATCATCTAACAAAATATTCAAAAGGCTTTTCTAATCCTTGCTAACCTGGACCGGCGTGGTTATTAACCCCCTATTAACCCCCGCTCTCCCCCCTCTTTTCACTAGCCCCTGCCAGCTCGGCTGGCACTTCTCCCCTTCCTGCTACTTCTGTCCCTGCTCCCACCACTCTCACTCCTGCTACCGTCCCATCCTCCGCTGCCCCAGATGCTGCTGCCACTACTGCCGCAGGGGCTCAACCTCTAGCTGATTGCTTCACCTCTCCAACTCCCCCTGCTGCCTCTTCCGCTCCTTCTGCAGGTGAGTCCCACCTGCTCTCCGCAACCACCTGAGCCAAGATGCAGATGCCTAAGGATGATCAGAATATCAGGAGAGCTTTGATGAATCTGAAAATTATTCGTTTTTTCCATCAACAGAAAGAGATTTTGTTTTCTAACATTCAGGTCTCATAGGTTCTCTGTGTTGATGTCATTTCTGTGTTCTTTGGCAAGAGGTTTACGACATGGTACACTTAGCAAAAAATCTGTGTCCAACACATCATGCTGGACCAGTAGCTTTTGAAGAATCAAAGTGTTCATTTTTCATTCAGTATTTAGTGAAATGACAGCTAAACCTAGCCAAATTGGCAAATGGCATTTTGGCAAACAATGCCCGTGAAAAGGCAAATATTGCTCATTAGTCTAGTTTAGTCTAAAATGTATGGGCTGTACCACTTGTGTTATCATATAGTTTGGGTTTTAATATCTCCATGTATATGTTTTTGAAAATAAATACATATCTTTTTAGTTCCTAACAGTTGTTCTGACAGCTGTTCACTAATTTGAGTAACTTAGATATAGGAGCCCCCAAATATTTATATTCAGTGCTTTGTTGGAATGTGGCTAAGTCTGAATGCATCAGATATTCATTTGACAGTTTTGAGAGACTATGAAGCTTGGTGATTAATCTATAAATGTTAAGTATATACTGTGTTTAAATACTTACAGGAAGGAACAGATTAGCTACTAGCCAAATTGATATCTCAGACTTATTTCACTGGCGTCTATGTTCATGTGCTCAGGGGGACTTAACCATAATTATGCTCTTGGATTTGAAAGAGAAGGGGGGAATCTGGGTATAGTGATGGTCAAACCATCTCAAAAAATGAGTCAGCTGTAATGACTAAGCCTGGTCAGTAACCTTGCATGAAAAATTTCGTGTTTGTGATTGCTGAAGTATATTCAGACCTGGGGCAGCTTGGGACTGGTTCACCCATGGATTCCTTTCTCCCTGTTCTGCAATTTCTGATTGTCTCCGCCAAACAAGTGCACTTTTTCACTCAACATTGTGGCTGAGCGGATGACCACAGTTCTTCATTGTGTTTACTCATGCGTACTTAGCCTGAAAAATCAGTCACAACATACGTTATATATTTGTTCTGTGTTTGGTCAACTTCTTTCAGTGCCAAAAGAATCAATTTTGTGACCCTCCCTCTTGTTAAATGCTGTATGATATGCTGCTATTCATCATCTTCAAGCATGCTTTCTTTTCAGTTGCATTTTAAGTGCCATTCTCATTTTCCTGCCTAGCATGGCTGTTATATAATTTACAATGCTTTGTTATAAATTGAAAACTTTTGTATTCATATGTAGTCACTGTGTTGTCATCTGAACAGGCTTAAATACTTATGGCATAGTTTTCAGAAACTTACTTTGAGGCAAATCTCACATGGAAATACAGCCTTCAGTTTCAAGGCATTATTTTCCTCGCCCCTGAATGCTTTTCTTCTTTCAAAACAGGCCATACCGTTCAGTTCTATAGCATGAATAGACCGGCTACGCGGCATACCCCTCCAACAATAGGGGGCTCCCTGCCCTACAGGCGTCCCCCCTCCATCACTTCACAGAACAGCCTTCAAAACCAAGTGAATGGAGGGCCCTTTTATAGCCAGAACCCAGGTAAGATGGACCATAACGGACTTCATTACTCCTTCCTCCCAAGAAAGATGCCAGTGTTGTGGCCTTGTCTGCATGTGGTTATACCATTACCTGATGTGGTTTGTTTGTTGTTTTTTCCACTATAAAGTTTAAATTGTTGTTGTAAGTCTGCATAATTTCTACAGAAGGTTTAATTTCCCATAGTATATCCAGTGATATGCTCACAAGAAGGAATTTTTGGAAGGATATCTGTTCTTAGCCATTTGTACTAAGTGTGCAGAAGCTGGTGTCATTCCCCACCCAATCACGAAGCTGCAAAAAAGAGCTTGACCCAGTAGGATCTTGTAATGTTGTCCTAACTGCTTCATGTTGCTTAAATAGATGGCTTGCTCTGATCATGCAGAACTTATGGTTGTGCTTCTGTGTGTTTAATGTCTATTATGGGACTTGTTCTTAGCAAATAGCATATGATGTGATACAGTATGTGCTTGAACTTACCACTTCTTTTCATTTATTTTTATAAATGGTGTGATTGATGTGTTATGCAACATCACACCTCTTGTGCTCTTCAGTGTAAAAACTCACACACTCATCTGAATGTTGAAAATTCAGGCAAGCTAGCTTTCGGTACAACAAACACGTTGTTTCATAAGGAAATATTCACTAATGTGAACTATTGCTTGCAGTCTAAAGCAGTGGTTCTCAGCTTGTGGGTCCCCAGGTGTTTAGGCCTACAACTCCCAGAAATTCCAGCCAGTTTATCAACTGTTAGGATTTTGGGGAGTTGAAGCCCAAAACATCTGGGGACCCACAGGTTGAGAACCAGTGGTCTAAAGGGATAGGTGTATGGCCTCCCTTGTTCATGAAACCTAAGCCAGAGAAGCCTACTTGAAATAATTATTATACAAGGTTTACTCAAATCTAATGCTCACTTTTTTTGGTTCTGTAACCCTGCCAAAATGTGGGTGCGCATTAGATTTGTTGGTAATATGGTAATTTTAGTGCTGAGCCAAAGCAAAGGGGAAAGCTCTTCAGGAGCACCTGAAGTTCCTATTTGAGGGACTTAATCTCTAATTTAATGGGCAAGGCTCAATGCTACGCAATCCTGGGATTTATCGTTTGGTGAGGCAGAGAAAACTTGTAAAACTACAACCCCATGACTCCATAGCATTGAGCCAGAACAATTAAAGTGGATTCATTCTATAGCATAGATGCACTCCAAAGTTTTCCTTTGAATTGCTGCAACATTTCCCCATTGTTCTAACACTTTTGTTTTTAAGAAGGACTTCTAAGCAGGGAGCCACTGGCCACCTTTTTTCTCCAAATTACAAAGAACGCACCTTTTGTCACTGTGTATTGCATTTGGCAGCAAATACTTTTTTTGGTTTTGAAAATTGAGATGCACATTAGATTGCATTGCACATTAAACTCAAACAAATATGGTATGCAGATAGGCCTGAGAGCTTTCAAAATAGCAGAGACTGTTGATTGAACTTCAAGGCTAAGTTGGTTTTTGAATCTGGCTTCACACCCACACAGAACTAATTCCATCTGTCTATTCGAAAAGAAAGTATTGATTTAAAGAGAGCATTTGCTTGGCAGTTATATTTCCAAAGGAAGTATCTTTCCTTGTAAATAAAGAGAGTCCTGGAAAATAGAGCTGTAGTTGCTCAAAGAGGATGGCAGAGAGGTCCCTGGATCCTTACCAGAATAGGAGCAACAGCGCTCCTAATAAAGCCGCATTGTAGGGAGAGGGCTGCTGAGGACAACCAAATGGATGTGGTACCAAAACATGAAAAAATTGGCTGGACAAGGGTAGCAAGAAATGCCTTTTGGAAAAGGGGCAGTTTATTTTTCATTGAGAAAACATGAGGAGAAAATGCTCATGAAAATATGGTTCAGAAAGGGGAAGGGACATTTTGTAGGTTGATCTTTCGGTAACAGATCACCGTCATCTTCTTCCTGCTCGGGAAAGCAAAATGGCTTTTGAAGCACTTATACTGTTAGCATTCCAACAGTTGGACTGAAAGCTACATTTTGTATGTTGAAAAACAAATGAAGATGTGCCTGTGAATACAGGACTTCATTGGCTTAAGGGCAGTGCTTTGGTCTTTGAATATCGCACTTGCTAAAGGTTCTCCATATAGAATCGTTCTTGTTTTCTGTTAAAGCTGTGCACAAAAAACCCACACTGGCATTTTTTAAACACTCATTTAAACAGTGATATAATACAGTTCATTAAAGCTATTCTATTCATTGCTCTCCATATGCTCAGAGCCACCCTGAGTGAATCCAATCAAACTCCTTTTCCTTCAGTTTTTTTTAAAAACCAAGATTAGAAAGAAGAATTGTGTAGTTTTCCTCTATATCTTGAAATAATAGATTTTGTAAATTAAATTGTTTTGGCAGCCATAATAAAGATGATGCAGAAATCATTTGGATTGGGGGGAAAATTGGATTCAAGCCTAATATGCGACATCAAATTATTTCCCCAAATAGCCAATAATGTCTGTGATTCAGATAGAATTGTTTTGTGAATATTATTTTGTAGTCACAATAGGGGATGTTTCACATAAACTTGATCTCTGTCTATTGCAGAAACACACTGTAGCTCAGTGGTTCTCAACCTGTGGGTCCCCAGATGTTTTGGCTTTCAACTCCCAGAAATCCTAACAACTGGTAAACTGTCTGGGATTTCTGGGAGTTGTAGGCCAAAACATCTGTGTTGTCATTGAATGTGTAGTTAATTTTACCAGTTATTATTTCTCCTTTCAGTGATCCTTTTTGTACTTAACTAGAAACTTGCATTAGTTGGAAATACTTACCTTTTAAGAAAGTATTTTCTTCTTAATATTCCATTCTTTCCTTCATTTTTTGGTTCAATATGTTCTTAATCAAAAGTTTCTCTTTTTTATTGTCCTTCGTTGCAGTATCTCTTGCACCTCCTCCTCCCTCTATCCTACAGGTAACTCCTCAGTTACCACTGATGGGATTTGTGGCCAGAGTTCAGGAAAATAGTAAGTTATTTATTTTATTTACGACATTTATATGCCACCCTTCTCACCCCGAAGGGGACTCAGAGCGGCTTACAAGATACATATATATACATACAATATATTATATTATTAGCATAGTACAATATTAGTATTAATTATTACTATATTGTATTATACCATTATATTGTAATATTATTGGTAATATTTCATGTAATATAAATATATAATTATATATTATTAGTATTAGTATTATATTGCATTACATTATAATATTATAAATATTATATGTATATACAATATATTATATTATATTATATTATATTATTAACATAGCACAAGATGGAACGGTCCCCTGACCCCCTCCCCCTTCACTCTGATCCAGAGCGGCAGTTGGTTCTGGGGGGAGGGGTCCCCAACTGATGACATATGCAGGAGACAAGATGGAACTGTCCCCTGCCCCCCCCCCCCCTTCACTCTGGATCCAGAGCGGCAGCTGGTGCTGTGGGGAGGGGTCTCCAGCTGATGACATATGCAGGAGACAAGATGGAACTGTCCCCCTCTCTCTTCACTCTGGTCCAGAGCGGCAGTTGGTGCTGGGGGGAGGGGTCCCCAACTCATGACATATGCAGGAGACAAGATGGAACTGTCCCCTGACCCCCTCTCTCTTCACTCTGCCCCAGTTCACATTATTATGTGATTTATTTAGAATTGCTATATTTTGGGATCTTACTTTAAACTCATCTGTGTATGCCAACTGTAAGTGATAATTATGAGTGTGGACGACAGGTGATAGGGTATTGCTTTATCTCCTTGCCCACACTATACCAAACATGGCTGCTTTCTTGTTCTTTGCCTGTTTAGCAGGGGTTTTTTTTTATATGGAAGCAGGGTGATGTCTTTTGTCCTCAATCCCATGCTGACAGTTGCCATCAAGATCTGTCATAGAGAGATTATTGGGAATTGGAGTGGAATGTCACTTAGAGCTATAGATGGAAAGACTAGCAAAAGTAAGAGTAAAATGTCCTATCTCCTGTAAAATATGGTGTCACAGACCGACTAAGGCAATGGTTCTTAACCTGTGGGTCCCCAAGTGTTTTGGCCTACAACTGCCAGAAATCCCAGCCAGTTTACCAACTGTTAGAATTTCTGGGAGTTGAAGGCTAAAACATCTGGGGACCCACAGGTTGGGAACCACTGCACTATGGGAAGAGTGATAGGAGCGGAAGGAACATTTGAGTCCTGGTTTTCTCTCTCTTTCTGCTTTGGATGAGCTGTGTAAAAAAAGGTATCATCTAAATTTTCTTTCCCACTCTCCCAAATGGACATAGACCGAGATTGTTTTTTTTAAAGCCCTCATCCATGGAATGTGCCATGAAGGCATTTAACTTTATAATTGTTTTGGTTCTCTAGTTTCGGAGACTCCTCCACCCCCACCCCCTGTAGATGAACCAGTCTTTGATGAATCTCCCCCTCCACCACCTCCTCCAGAAGATTATGAAGAGGAAGAAGCAGCTGTGGTGGAATATAGTGATCCATACGCTGAAGAGGATCCCCCCTGGGCACCGAGGACCTACTTGGAGAAAGGTAGGCTGGCTGGAAATTGTAAGATGAGTTGCAGCAGAAGAAAAGACTTACCTGTGCCTTTGGCATGAATTGTACAATAGATTTTACTTTTAATTCAGGCACTATTCTATTAATTAAAAATTTTGTCGAGTGATAGTGTGCAATTACACTATGTAACAAAATTTGAAAAAAAAACTCTGTTCCTGATTTGAAAATGTTATTTCCTGTTTAATTGTGTGATATGTACTTTTAAAGTAGTTGTTATACTCCAGAAACTTCGTTTTTGTGGCTGCCACAAACCACGTTGAATTGGTTAAGACTCTGTGGGATAGTTTTTGAAAAATGATAGCTAAATGTGTTGCAGGATGTCTTGCAAAAAACAAAGTGTTTGCAGTTTAATAATCTTTTTCCATTTTTTAAATACTAGAACCAATTTGGAAATGACATTTATAACCCAGGAACAAAAATAGTGTTACATAATGTTATAGGAATGTTTTGCAGTGGGACAGAGCAATTGAAAGCCAGACTTCTTAATCCTTCTGCTCTGTGGGCAGCCAGGCCATACCAGCATTTTTCAAGCCTGTGAAGCTCCCCTTCATCCCCTGCTTGTCCAGAATCCTAGTCGCAGGCAGTCTCCTCTCTCATCCGGGATTCCAGAATAACCAAAGAAGGGCTCTGTAAAGGGAGTTAAGAGATCAGGGTCTCTTATTGCTCCTGTGTGACAGGAATATGCGAGGGTGTTTCACACAGGTGATGAGAGAGAAAGGTGTGTGTATATGGTAGGTATGCTGCCACCACCTCAAACTTCTGATTGAGGAATTAACTAGATGTTATACTTGAGGTAAAATGTCCCTATACACCGGTTCCTCTCCTTGGCTCCCTTTCTTGTGACTGGACTGCAGAGATGTAGAGGCTGACTGGAACTAGCTTTATATGACAAAACAAGGCTGAGGCAGATTAAAAGTAAACTAGGGAACAGGTTTATTGAAATATTTGAAACAGACAACTCATTACTGAGAGGTACATATGCGTAGTTGGTTTCTGAGGCACAGACTAATAAAACAAATGGTTGTTTAAGAAGGAGTAACTTTTCTTTGACGTGAGTTACTTTCCTCACACTATCCCTATAACAAGCAACAGTGTGTTTCTTAGACCAGCCGCCCTGGCTGTCTGCAAGAGTAACTAGGTTCCTTCTAGACTACTCTGCACTGTAGGGAAATAAACCCACTTGTATTYTCTCTCAATACAAGTCAACAAGCCTYCACTTTGACTRSCCAAGCCAAAGTACCCTGAAGCACTTGYCCTCTATTATTCCCWWTCAGYCTAATTCTKAACTCACTCAGCAACTCTCYTCTCCCTGCCTGAAAATCCTAATCCTATCTCTYTCCTAGATCAAATCYYTSTTCTCTCTTTTARATCARAAMCATSTCTCTYYWAGATCAAATCATTCTTCYCYCYCYCTGACAGAAAGTACAGCCTTTTTACACACWCCWTCAACTCYTCCCCTWGGGGTCTGARCCAATCAGGAGTTAGYTGACTCCTCCCCTTGCCTCTCWGCCCTTTCCCAACATGTCAGCTATCCTGAGCACCCTCCCAACATGGAGGCCTGCTCACTGACTCCCAGGCTGCGGCCTACGAAGCAAAGGTATGAGTTCACTACAGGCTCAAATACAGGCATCTTTATCTGTGGATGATTTGTTAGAAAATAAACTGCTAGCAAGTGTTCATTACAGAGCCCAACAACAGCAAAAATTGGTATCTTGGTTTTTTAGGTCTGTTCCTGGGGCTATTTGGGGCACTGATTTGGAAAATTGCGTTGGAATGACCACATCAACATTAGTTCCTTAGCTATGGTTATCATGATTTTCTTTGGACGAGCGTATGCTTTGTATTTCAAAACTGAAGCTGGTGGGGGGTGGGGGATTGGAGCTATTTTTGGAATCAGCAGGTCAAATATACCCAGTAACACGTCTAACATCTGAGGCGCTGAAATCTGTGTTCACCAGTGTTACCTTCCTCTTGCAATTTTATGTGAGGCATAGTGCTTTTAATGTAACTACTGGATAAATGGACATGTTTTGCTATGCTATTTAGCAGATGCTAATGTGCAAAATCATATTGAACTGTAAAATGATGTACAGTTCTTTTTTCAGGGGTAGGAATCAAGTGACCCTCCAGAGGTTGCGGAACAGCATTTTGAGGAATGCTGGCAATTGCAGTCCAGCGACATCTGAAAGATTACATTATTTTGTCCTTGTTCTTAAGACAGATATTAGCATTACATTCTTGAAGCTGAGCATCAGCTCAGCCGAATAGTTTATTGTTTGTTATCTTTTGCTTCCTGTTTGTTTTAAGGGTACTATTCTGTGCACCCTGTACTTGTACCTTTTTGTCATGGTCATGGGCTTGTAAGTTTTGTTTCCCCCCTGGAGAGGAAGTAAATCACACCTGTCTTGTCCTCATTCGCTGTGGCAATTAGCAACTTCTTCATTTGTTTTGCCACTGATGGAAAGAGGAGTGACACAGCCGCAGCAACAGGCCCCTTTCCCTGCACACCGAGCTCATGAATATCCTGGCTAATTCCCCTGGGATTTAACGATCTGAACAGAGCCCGTGTTTATTGTGGCTAAGAAGATAATTCTGTATGGCAGTCAGCCACATGATTAGGGGGGCAGCAGTGAAATAGAATTACGATAGGCTCCTAAAATATGTTGGCATTTCTGTATGGGAATGTTAGGGAGCCGGGACTGGGAAAAGTCAGCATATACTGATGATAGAAAATTGTATAGACTGAGAATCTCTTTTGAACAGGATGCCTGCTCAGCGTTTTACTGCCCCTCTTGTCCTGCTTTCTGCCTCTATTGGGAGGTGGAAATAGTCTCTCCATTTTATCACTGAACAATTCTGAAGAAGGAACTAGTTCGATAACTTTTCGCTATGTAGATTCCTTCCGCAACCCTCAGAAAACCAATTATGCATTTGTCACTGCACAGTAAGTCCACATCTTAACCAAGATCACTTCTCTGGATTGGTGCAGGAAATGTTATCTTTTAAGTTTCACTAAATAGTTGTGTAAACTATTTATCTGAGAAAGCCTGATCCCAGTAGAAACAGCTAGAGCAGGGTTTCTCAACCTGGGTGTTGGGACCACAGGGGGGTTTCAGAGAGGTCACCAAAGACCATCAGAAAATGCATATTTCTGATAGTCTTAGGAACCCCTTTGGCAGATCTCTCTGCCTGTCCTTCCTGTTTGGAATCCTCCCACCAAAAGCCCTCTTCTGCTGTGATTGGCTGCCCTTTCAGCTGGCCTCTCAGCCAAGGGGAGGGCTGTTTCTGGGACTCCAAGCAGGAAGGGGAGAGCAGGCGTGCAGTAGCAGGAGCAGCTTAGGTTATTTGTAACACTATTCATTAGAAAAAGTCAGTCTTTCCTATTGTGATGCTTCCATTAGAAAATGCATAAGAATGTGTGCGAATTACCACTCCCAAAATCATGGGTCAATCCTCCCCAAATCCCACCAGTATTCACAGTTGGCCATGTTGGGTCTGTCTGCCAAGTTTGGTCCAGATCAATCATTGCTTGAGTCCACAGTTCTCTCTGGATGTAGGTGAACTACAACTCTAAAACTCAAGGTCAATGCCCACCAGACCCTTCCAGTATTTTCTGTTGGTCGTGAGAGTTGTGTGTGCCAAGTGTGGTTCAGTTCCTTCGTTGGTGGAGTTCAGAATGTTTTTTTGATTGTAGGTTAACTATAAATCCCTGAAACTACAACTCCCAAATGACAAAATCAATCCGCTTTAACCCTACCAGTATTCAAATTTGGGCATATTGGGTATTTGTGCCAAATTTGGTCCAGTGAATGAAAATATTTACTGCATACCAGATATTTACATCATCATCATCATTATTATTATTATTATTATTATTAATAATAATAATAATTTTATTTATACCCCTCTAACATCTCCTGAAGGATTCGGTGCGGCTTACAAGAGGCCAAGGCCCAACACATCAATTATGATTCATAACAGTAGCAAAATTACAGTTATGAAGTAGCAACAAAAATAATGTTATGGTTGGGGGTCACCAGAACACGAGGAACTGTATTAAGGGGTCGCAGCATTAGGAAGGTTGAGAACCACTGAGCTAGAGTGTCACATCTTCCCTGTGCTGCAGTGCATCTCTGACAAGACAAAATTTATTTCCTAATATTGTTGAGAATTCTGGTATGCTTAGCCATCTCGTAAAAGCCTTGTTTTGGTTTTTAGTTGAGTAACAGACTGTTTAAATCCAAAGGAGGCAGCTTGGAATCTGCAGATGTTCTGGGTTCCCATCAACCTCAACCAGCTTGAGCATTTTAGGGGTTGTGGTAGTTGTTCAAAGCATGTGGAGAGCATCAGGTTTCCTAACACTGCTTCAGGCAAATGGGGAGAAAAAACACAACATTTGAATTAGTAACTGCTAAAGCACAACTGGGGAATGTGTGACCCTTCCAACATTATGCTGCATATCCCATAAATCCTAGACAATAAAATAAAGGTACTAAGAAAAGATGAAGGGAATTAGAGTTTGCCATAGCCTCTCTTCTCAAGTCTACTTCTCAGGAGCAGGAAAATACTTTTAAAAATAACATAGCTTACTTCTACATATTTTGCTTTACTAAACATCTTTCCTCCTTTCACAAAGCTCTTACTGGCTAGGCCAAGAGAACAAACATACTTGAACAAACTGATTTTATTAAATAACTGGATTGAAAGTGTGCTCATATATATTTGTGGTTTCAAATTCTTATTACATTTTAACAGATAACACCTTGTATTGTCGAAGGCTTTCATGGCCGGAATCACTGGATTGTTGTAGATTTTTCCGGGCTATATGGCCATGTTCTAGAGGCATTTTCTCCTGACGTTTCGCCTGCATCTATGGCAAGCATCCTCAGAGGTAGTGAGGTCTGTTGGAAGTAGGAAAATGGGTTAATATATCTGTGGAATGACCAGGGTGGGGCATTTCTGTGTTCTCAAATAATATGCTGTGTCCAGGTTTGAGAACACAGAAATGCTGGACCACTCTCACAACCACCATGTCAGACTACACAGAGAAGCCATTGAAATTCACAGGCATGTGGACAATTTCAACAGAAAGAAAGAAACCATGAAAATGAACAAAATCTGGCTACCAGTATTAAAAAACTCAAAAATTACAACAGCAGAACAACAGAGAGTAAACAATCAGGCACATCAAATCACTCTCAACAAAAGATTCCCCCAGGTACTTCCAAGCCATTAAATGCTAATCAAGGTGGTCAGTTGAAACATTCACACCTAGCTCCAGCAGACATAAGTCCTTTGCCCCACCCTGGTCATTCCACAGATATATAAACCCTTTTTTCCTACATCCAACAGACCTCACTACCTCTGAGGATGCTTGCCATAGATGCAGGCGAAATGTCAGGAGAAAATGCCTCTAGAACATGGCCATATAGCCCGGAAAAACCTACAACAACCCAGATAACACCTTATTGTAGTTCTAATGTAAATCCCTACTTGCTCTCCAGTAACTGTACCCACTAGGATCACTTAATAAACTTTATTTTTAACCCGCTCTCTCTCCCTGAAGGGACTCAGGGTGGCTTCCCACTTTCGAATTCATCTTCAAATCCTAATCCTCACCCTCTGTCATTTATCACTCTCCTGTTTCAAGCTTAATATGCTCTCTATTCAGTCAAATAGCATATGTACTCCCTACTTTCACAGCTTACCTTCTTCTAAAAATACTAATTGCAGTGCACTGTACCATAATCATGACAGCACAAATGTGCAAAGCTGCCAGGCACCACACTACCCCACACCGTCTGGAGAGTCAGGGGGTTGCTTATCCCTGCAGAAAAAAGAAATCGCTGCTGTTTGGAAGGAAGGGCTGCATTAAAGTGTTGAGAAGCTGAAATTACCGTCGTCAATGGTTCTTTAAGGTACACTTATTTTTCTTTTTGTGTTTGTTCCTAGTTGTGGCGATCTATGACTACTCTAAAGACAAGGAGGACGAACTCTCCTTTCAGGAAGGTGCCATCATTTATGTCATTAAGAAAAATGATGATGGTTGGTATGAAGGTGTCATGAACGGAGTGACCGGACTCTTCCCAGGGAACTACGTGGAGTCCATCATGCACTACTCGGAGTGAAGACTGCCGTGGAGGGCAAGAGGCACCCTTGCCCCTTGCTTGCCAAGAGACTGTGGGCTTCCCCAGACCTCCACCGGCCCTGGGAGAGACCCTGGCATGTGAACTGAAGGATGGGAGGAACGAAGGAAAGATCATTGTAACAAAAACACTCAAGTTTATTTTCTTTGATTCTTGGTTTTACTTCCCCCTCCCTTTTTATAAAATAGTGATTTCAGTTGTTTTGAAGAAGTGGCTCTTCCATTTCTGCCAGCAGTGGCAGAGCTGAGCATTGTGACAGATTTTAATAAGCAGATCCATTCAGGCCTAGAGTCAGGAGATGCAAAGAGCTTGCCAATTAACTGATCCATTGCTCAAATTGTGACCCATTCAATCTAGACATGGGATTTTTCTCAGGAATAATTGTAAGCCCTGGGTATTGGGACACCCCAAGTACCAATGTGGAAGGCTTGGCTTTGATAGGCCATTGATTCCCTTGCCCCCTGCCCCAGCCTGCCCTCCCAGTCTCCCTACACTACACACTTTTAACTGCTGTGAAGTAGTATTGTGCTGACAAACATCTGGATCTCAGGTTGGTTCCTTGCGTCTCTAAATCAAGTAGTTGTTCAGCACATGTAGCCTGATCTGAACATGCAAGGAGCTAGTCTCCGATTCAGCTGCCTCTTACATTTGGCAGTGTATAAGGATGTCATATTGGAGATGGTCTCCTAGTTATGTGGATCCTTTTCAAGCACAAACATGGCCACTCTCATATGGTTAAATTACTTTTAAGGTGTTGAAGGAAGGTCCTGAAGGAAGATAATATGTCAACATTAAAGATTAGGTTATGTTTGATTTTACAGGCAGCCATATTCTGTTTCCCAGTTTGCAAAATATTGTGAGAATGGTTTACACCTTCTTGCCTGATGTTCTCCATGTTGTTCAGTTACTGCTTTCAGATCATGTGTGTGCCAGATGTGGTGGATATGCACTTCAGCCCTCAGCCCTGGTACTTCTCACTGAGACTCGATGTGGTCTTCTGGAATCACCTCATGTTTTATAAATTGGGAAATTAGAACTTGGGGGAACAAGTATATCTAGGGAAGGGAAAAGTTTTGAGTTTATTATATGGTTCAGATAAAGCCCTAATCAACTCAAATATTTATCACCATGTACATCATTTGTCCATTTCCAGATCTTGGAAGCTATTGCAAATATTGCCCAGTGTCGGATGATTTTGCAAGGATTTCAAAGGGCTCGCTTTTTTCTGGTTTTCTTTGAACACTAATTGGAAACTGATGAGAACCATTGCTCTCTTCCACCCCCATTGAGATGGTTGTTTTTCCAATATGTCAATGGAACCCTTCTATGACAGCTCTCGGGATTTTAGGACCACACTGGATGATACATGAAATGTAGGTGTATTTGATTAATCAGCAGCTATTGAAGTTCTCGAGCAGGATTGTGCCTGAGATGAGTGAAAATGTGGAAAGAAGCGAAATGTAGAAAGAAGTTCATGTTGTTTGCAGGAGCAGCTTCTGTGCTTTGGCAGATAGACTAACCTGAGGGAAAGAATTTTGCTGGGTCAGTGCAGTCTGTATCTGTTCCATTTTCAATCCTAGTTCCACCTCTCACCCTTAATACAAGGTATGTGGACGTTGACCACACATTTCTTGTATCATCTGAGTTGATTACAATGATCTGTTAGGCTCCACAGACCAGATGAGAATGCATTGAGATGACACTTTAAATATGACGTACTAGCCTTTCTTCAACTAGCTCAAAATTAATTAATCCAGCAAAACCCGGTTTTGTATCTAGTTTTACAATCTGTGCAGACTGTGTTGGTTTAACCACCACAGTAGGAGGGTTGTGGAACGTCTTTTTTGTTGTTGCTAGAGCCATGAACAAACTTCAGGTATTACCGAGAGTCATTATCCTGCTATAGATGGCTATAGCCTCCAAGATTACAGCTGCTTATGTGGGTTATCAGGGTGCTTGCAAAGGTTACAGATTCAAAGCTTAAGACTAAGATGCTCTCCTTTGACTACATGCATTGAAATGGGATCACAGTACTCACAGTTACTGTGAGTAACTGTGACCTTCCACATGATTTTATCCTTCCACATGATTTTATCCTACTACTGTCATCAGTCATCAGAGCCAGTGATGGTGGATTATGGAAACTACAGTTGAAAAACATATGAACTGATATATTTGGGGAGCTGAAATATAGTTTGGCTAGGTGGAGCCACCTCCATTAAGAGTAGGTTCACATTGTGGTTCTTCAAGCTCTAGAAGGATGGAACATTTTCAGTGTGCCAGAGGTTTGAAAACAGGTTTATTGGTACTATCTGGAAACGTTCAATGAGATACCTTTTTTGAGATAGCTCATGACCCGAATGAAATTATTAGCCATGATTTGCATTAGTAATGAATAAGTAATTGAGAAGGGAAGTATTTGTGGTCCAAAATTCACATTAAAATATGTGATAATTTGGAGCTATAGTTTTCAGACTTTTGTCCAGGCAGGCATTGAAATGGGGGTGAGGGTGACTCAGGTTGACCAGAAATTAACTGTAATGCTTGGAAGTAAGATAAAGAGTTTGCGGTGGGATTATATTCATGCAGGATATTTTGTTGTCTTTCCCCATGTTCTGAGGGCTCTCTACAATTAGGGGTAAAAAAGTCAGAAAAGTGGGGTTCATGGGCCATGGGCTCACCCTTGTTGTAGTAGAAACTTTGTAAACACATCTGCCATACTGGAAATAATTTGGTCCTTTAGTGCTCATGCCATCACAGATGCTAAAATGTGAAAAGTACAGCTCCAAAGCTGGTATTACATATATTGACTGCTACGTTTTAAAATCCCAATGGAAGTTTCTTTCCCACCTCACTTCTAACCAATCCCAGTAGAGCCACTCATTATTTCAGGCAGTCATAGCAAACAATTTTAGGAAGGTCGTGAGCTGACTAGGTAAGATTGCAAGCTTTGATTGTGTATTTTTGTGCAGCATGGGATTGGACTTGATGGCCCTTGAGGCCTCTTCCAACTTTAACCCTTTCTGATTCTATGCGCTTCCATAATCCTTCAACCATCTCATCTGGCTCATATAAACAAGTTTCTTGTATGATCACTCTGCTCCTCATATTGGATGTGTGTATGTCAAGGTTCCTATGCATCTATATTTGACTAGAATTGATTTACCATTCTTAGTATGATGATTCAGTGTCAAATAGCATCTTTATTGTGCACAAGCCTGAGATATCCTAGCCTGCAAAGAAGCTCTGGAAGTGCAGGCACCCACAAATGTGCTTACTATAGTATTGCTCCTCAAGTCTGCTCAGGAGTGAGAAAGCCCTGGTGCCTCTGTAAAGGAGGAGATCTTATGCAGAGTTTTAGAGAAGGAATCTACTTCTGTCCATTTCCCTGGGTGGGGATGCTGTCCTCTTCCTCTCACCTGAGTTTTTTAAATTGTTGAATGAAAGTGACAAGGCCAGGGGCAATGACAAGTTATGGCTAATTGATAAACTGAGACATATTAACCCATGCGCCTGAAGATGAGGTTTTCAAAGATCAAAGAAATGAAATGTGAAAGTTGTCCAATTATATTTGCAGTTCTGATCAAAGCATCCAGAGATTTTCTCTTCCCATTCTGCCTTGTTTCCCAAAGATTATCCAAAACTATGAAAAGGCAGATGTAATGAGGAGGGCAGTTAAGAGCGCAATCTGGTTTAATTGCTGCTGAAGGAGAAGCTTCTTCCCCTTTGCTTTATACAAAAGTCGTAGCTTTGATTCTTCTCATTACTGATGCACTTTACTCCTGGTATGAGGTCCTGCATGCTATGGGCAGTTTCTTAAGGACACCACTTTTCATTTGCCTCTCTCCCTCCTTCCAAAACAGTAAAAAGAGGGAAAGAAAAGCAGTCTGCCTTAATTTTGAATTCATCATGTCAGAGGTGAGTTGGTTTGTTCTCTGCCCTTCTGGGAAATGTCATATCATTTACCTTAAATAGAGTACACAATCAGACTGAGGAATGCTTACCCCTAGCATTCCATTGCTTTAGCATTAGCCCTGAAAAATGTGTTTGAATCCTTAACTCTGTCCCTTTGCAAGGTCCTGACCACCAGAGCTAAAGAGCAAATGCATACTTGATCCAGGAAGATTGGGTCTAGATTCCATAGTCCCCTTAGTTTTAACAGAAATCTTCACACAGTTTGGAGAGGTTTCAGAGACTGTGGCTGGAGTGTTTATAAAAGTGCAGTCAAATGCAGAAATGGCTCATAAGGAGCTTCAGTGCACTGTTTCAACGGATGTGTTTCTTTGGTTGTGTGTATGGAGAGTCAGAAGACCAGGCCTGCCGTTCCAAGCCTCTGGCTGCTCCCTACTCTCCGCCAGGCCATGGCCTTCTTCCTGTGGGGCTTGCGTCCTGCTGGGCTTATTGCTTTTTATTCTGCAGTACTATTGTTGTAAAGAAATTCCTTGGATTTCATGCATATTTTTTATTTTGTACTTTGAAATCTGTAGGATGTCTAGGGATGATTCTGTATGTACAAGGCCCAAAGTAACCAGACTCTTTCTGTATGTAATGTTGCATAGACTGCATGCTATATCAAGTCGGTGAGGGTGGTATTCCATCTATAAATTGTACATTTTCTCCAACGGTCCTTCTTTTAAATTGTTAAAAAAGGAGGGTGGGGTGGGTTGGGAGGGTGGGCAAGGTGAGAGGGCCTGAGAAATCCCTCCTCAGGTCCTTCTATCAGGCATCAAGTGAAGGTGTCAAAAGGTTTCATACTATTCTTTGAGTATTTGAGGGAGAGCAATAGTTGGAGAGCCCTGTTTATGATCGATACATCATTTGTTCACTGGTTTTCATTCCCCAAGTGCTTAATTTGTCGCCCCATGAAATAATGGCACACAGATCTGAACATAGATGCTGCGCCTCACCCTTATCTTGCTCAGACTGGGCTTTCTGAGAAGCAGATCACTTTAGCAAAGCACCAGGAACAAATCTTTCTGTGCAAAAGCGTGGTCTGCCTAAAATAGGAATAGTAATCTTTGGTGCCTTTTTTTTAGGCTTGAGGGTTGTTACGTTGCTGTTCCTAAGAGCCGCCTTTGCCCTACTTTTGTATAAATTGCTGCCACTTGTCTCTGGCCTCATCTGAGGGCTTGCACATGCCATATTGAAGAAGGTAAGGAGCATTTCCCAGTCTATGGAGAGGCTTAACTGCTGCTTATATGTGCTTATGGTGAACCAGCCTGGGACAAAGATACTTTGTTAGTATGGTCGGTCTTTTATTTTTGGTTAGATTATCAACATTTGGAGAGGAGGGTGAATCAATAAAAGGTTCAGGAAGGATTTCTTGCCAGTTTGATTATGACTAGTGTTTCTAAGGATTACTTTCAGTGTGTCAAGTGCTAACAGTTGCCTGCGTGGATGGATGGTCTGCTTTTAATGGGGTTTTGCATGTCTATCCTTTTCCCCGTTCTGGATTACATTTTAGAAGAACTCTCTGGATCCCCAGCCATGTCCTTCCTATAATCTTGCATGAGAGTCTTAGGCCTGTTTTCCTATCAGTTCACATAGCATAGCCTGAAGGGTATTTGGCTTTAAGTGGAGCTTTCCATGGCAGTCACTGGTTTTGCAAATACACATTGAGCCATCTCTTGGATTATTTGGGCGTGTGGAATGGAGAATGACACCAGCCCATTCTTAAGGGAACAATTTCTTGCCTGGACCAAGTTAAGATTGTTAAGGAAGTTAAGGTTGTCTTTGTGTCTTCTAGTCTTTGTCGATTTTACTGGTTGTGACTCAATTTTTCTCAGCCATCTTTGCTGACTTATGCTAATGAAGTATTAAATCCCCCCCCCCCCCAATTAAAAAGAGGTCTTAAAGCAAAATATATTCCATGACATACATGACCCATTGGCGTGCTCTGCCAAAGCACCGAAAATGAATGGGTACTGTTTATGGGGCCTTGGGGTTAAAATGGGTTAGGGAAATGGAATGTCTTCCAGTTTGGCCTGACTTGGATTGGCTAGTTCTGAATAGAAGAGGCTCATTGAATCACTTGTGGACAAGGTAGGTGGAGCGCATTGGTTCAATGATTCTTCGAGTGGGACCAACAATAAGATTCCAAGTTGCTAGGGCAGCCTTTGGCCATAGCAATATTTGGAGATATCATTAGCTTAATGAAGAAGATATTGATGTAATTATGCTACTTTTAAAAAGACTCTGCACAGCTGCTGAACTAAATGAAGGAGATGGGGAAAAGTCCATATTCATGAGAAATAATGTCACATGGGAGAAATGATTCTTGTCTCGCATGCAGTATTAAAATTTGTTATTTTTCCTGGATAATGGGTACTGCAGTATTTGTAACTCAAGGAGAAACTAGCAGATATTGCCCAAAGCTAGGTATTCAGTGGATTGATAAGATGGTGTATTACATTTTTTAAAAGTGGAATCTTGCAAATAGACTTGAACTTAATAATGTATAAATGACCATACCTTCATTTGCTGTGCTAAAATGCATATTATAAAAGGGTGATATTTATCTGCTTTTCCCTACAGTACAGTTTGATCAAGGCTGTCACCAAGTGCACCTTGAAAGCAGGAAATGGTGCTCGGTTTCACACTGAACCATGGAGCAGAACTTATGCAATTTAGTCGTTCTTTTGATTCCATCATGTTAGCTGTAAAATGGGAAATTAGTGCAAACTGACTTCCATTAGAACTTGGTGGTCATGGGTGAGATCCAGATTTACATTTAAGAGACATGTAAATCGGTGACCAAGCCTCATGTAGTTAATTGGGTCTTCTCAGAGTATGCCTAAGTCTGGCTCCAGCCCATTGAAATTTCACATGGCTTGGAAAGATGGGTTTAATAGAACAAGTGTAATCTGGATGGGCAGTTATGTGACCGTTGTGGAGCATACTCCGAGCTTTTGAGGCGATCCAGTAACAGGAAATGTGCAGGATTCTAGGGAAGGCTGTATTACTGGTTGTTCAATTGTGTGTGCCATTAAACCACCTTCCAATGAGTGAAGGAACAAATTTTTAAAAGTTTTACAATTGTATTTGGAATTAACTGTTGCTGTGTACTAAACCCTCTTGTTACAAGTCCTAAATAAAAAACAAAAAGCACACTCTGACCCCTTCCAAGCGTCGTGAGCATGAATATGACAGTACGGAGACATCTGTTTCTGGGTTCTGAACTGTGCATTTTTATTAACTCCAGAAGTCAACGCAGAATGGAGGAGGATCTCCGTTGCTATGGGGACAAACGTTATGTGAAACAGATTTCTAATTATGTCAGCACATTGCAGAGTTTATGAAAAGAGTGGAGGAGTCCGTTGTAGTCTGTATGGGTTACCAAAAAACAACTGAGTGTGCATAGTCAACAAAGCCAGTTCAGCTGCCCTTTTTGGGGTAACAGACTGGTATTCAGTGTCGGCTCTTATTCATGATGGAATTGGGTATATGTTGACAGAGGTACTGGAAAAAAAAACACATTGTAAAGTAGTTTGAAGTAATTTAGTTATCATTTTTTACTCATACCGTTTGTGGAGCTACACAAGCAAGCTCCATGTAGTAATGGTGCTTTACCATTAAATATGCTTTACTTAACCATATACTAAATACCTGTAGCACTGCAGCTCAAAAACAGAAGGTACTTTTTTCAGCCAATCCAGAGACCACAAAGAATTAACATCCAATTTGCGGTAAAACAACTTGCAATGTATCTACAGGGAGCATATGGAAAGTACTAAGACCCACGAGGTGGAGCAACGGAACTTCATTACCTAAATGTAAGATCAAGTTTTCCTATTCTGAAAAAGTGGGGCTAGGTGTATGGATAAAATTACAGGAAGTGTGACAACTTGTGGACTCCCCTATCATATTATTGAGAATACAAGTCGATTGTGCTTATGAATGCCCATAAAAGGATTTCTATTCAAAATATCACCCAAATAAACATTCTTTTGTGCACCTGAGCAAAACCATCTATTTAATTTTTCCCCACTGGGATCATAAATGACTAAGCCAACAATAATGATTTTATTTGCTATGTGGAGGAGGAATAACCTTCCTAAGTGATATGGTGCCACAGCAGCCTGGTGTGGAGGAAAATGTCTGAATAAAGATGACTTTTGTTGCTTCTACCACCTTTGCACTCTGAATTCTGCTCCAAAGAAGTCCTACATGGGTCTTGGGACGAAGATGGACGTGAAAACAAGTGGTACATAGCAGAGCATTCCGATAAGCAATTGTAACCACAACCAACTACAGATAAATGTAACTATATCTTTATTAAGGTGTGCATATTCCATTGTATAATGATTTCTGAGTACTTTGTCATGAACGCATTTTGTATTCTCCCATGCTTTAAAAAAGTATATTTATACATATTTATAGAATATTTATATAGAACAAACCTCTTCTCAACCATAAGTTATCACTTGCAATGAACTTTGCTTTCTTTCTTAAAGGGAAAGGAGATGGGGAAGGCAGTCCCATTCAAAGATAATGTGCAATATTTTTCCCCTGGAAAGCAGTAAACATTAATGTATTTACAGCACTTTAGCACAAATCCGTTGCACGGACAAAAATCATTGCTGCCACATGGGTGTTGCACATGTGTAAATTCAGTTACAAGGATCACCACCATTGACTTTTCCCAATGGCTGAGAAACAACGCCAATGTTCTTTCCCACAATTTACAATCCTAACATTTACAATTACAAAATATGTAAAGCAGGAAAAAGCAGACAAATGACTCCTTCCATTTTCTGAAGGTGAAGTACATACTTAGTGGGTAGTATAATAAGCTGCAGCACAAAGTGAGTAATAGGTAATTTTACAGGAGACCTTCCACATTCAAACAAAGGCAACACACATGATTTGTATTTGTGTTTTGTATTATGGCCTGTGCCTGTGATAAGGCTGCAACTTAGGTGCTGTAAGAGAACTGCCTCCGCTATCTTGTTTTTCTTTGGTCCACAAAGAGAATCCCAAATATTTTGGGCCTGTCCTATTGAAGCTTGAGGAGGACATGTATGAAGGGCCCCTAAAAAGTGATGCTGAGGTTGGCCATGTGCTCACTGCATCCCTCGATAGCTTTTTACTTTATTATAGAAATGCTGCAATATTCCTACATTCCCCATTGACAGGGTGTAAGGCAAGTTGCGTACGAGGCAGGTGCTTCATGGCAGTTCTTACTCCCCTCCAAAGGAGAGTGTGTGGCAGTGAGGAAATCCCACAAGAAAGGAATTCACAACCAGACAATAGCAGTGTGAAGTACCTACGTTATACACATTTCTACCATCCTACTGTACTGACAGGGTTACCCTGAATGGGTGCTTTCTGCATGTCAGGAAGATACAACTAAGAAGGAGGAAGGATCATAGTACCTAACAGTGTCCAGTATGCATTACATTGTAAATTATAAATACCTGTTTTATTTGTAATTGGATTAGCACACTTCTTATACTTAGGGGAGAATATAGCCCCCAATGGCCCCCTCTCCCAGTGAGAACCTCCTCCTCCAGTGTGCCGATTCATCATGTTTTAGGCGAGAGGGGAAGATAACAGGAGTTCTCCCCTCGAGTGCATACAGTATTTTTTTTTCATAAAATAAATAAAACTGTCAACACTTGGGTGTATATGTATATGAGAGAGAGGGACACATGCATTCTCCTGACTTAGGGTAGTTTTTAATGCCTGCTTCATATCTTAAATGGAATGACCTTTGGATGAAGTTTGCTTCTGTATATGCTAAGGGATAAATTACAAATTAGGATGTAATTACCAAAAGCAAATGTGCTGTGATTAAATAGCAGGCCCAGGGGATGAGTGCAGTAGGGGGTTGATACTCATCCCCCTACTTAATGCCATTCTTCAATTGTCTACTTGATTCTTTTCCAATTCTGTTCTAAACACAATTTTTAGCTTTGGGGGAAGAAAAACGTTTAAGTGAACCCCAGAAGCATCTACTTAATATCTCTGCTAAAAACAAGCCAGAATTATAACACTGTGGAAAAAATATTTTGATTGTATGTCTTTGCAAAATGCAGGGACACAATCAGAAGTTTGATTTTCTATTGAGCCACGGTACTCTAGCTTATAACTATGTGTTCTTTTCTCCAAATGAAACCTCATTTACTACTTAACGTCTTAAAATAAACTATTTGAGAGCAATCTGTAGTGTCTTTTCTGACTCTTTATTAAAAAAGCTACGCAGATGTATATTTTGTTAGTCAACATAGGAATCAGTAAAATGAAACAAAAGCATAAAAGTAGGATTTGTACTTCATGTTGCTGAATTCAGCTGTTACTGGTTTCTAGTTGTCAGGTCTCATTTAGTGCTAATTAAATACTGTTAGTTTTCTTGTTAGTGATTTTGAGGTGACGCTTGTTAAAAAGTATATCTTAGTTCCCTGGATCAAGTTCACAACATTCAAGGTTTGGAATAAAATTGCAACCATGAGGCATTGAAGTATCTGAAAACTCAATTGGGAATTAGTCTGAATAACTAAATAGTGTTTCAAAATAGAGAACCGAGGCACAGAAAAGAAATGGCAGCAAGCACCATAGTAGTCGAGATACATTAGTTAGAGTCAGAGGCTACCACAACAATCCTGTTATCGAGATTTGCAAAGATTATGATTTGAGTGTGTATGTGCGTTGTACTATTTCAGTGCCACTCATGAGCATTACAGGCCATTGGTAGTCTTTAAAGCAAGGTTAACAGAAGAAAGACATTGAGAAAAATAATACATTATCAATCAGTACCAGGGTGTATTGGTGGAATAAAGAAATATTGAAATATAAACTCACCGGGAAATTTTGGGAAACCAGGGAAAGTCTGGGAAGTCACAGAGGAAGATAGCACAGAAGACACCTTTCTGACTCTGCTGTTGCTTTTTGCTTGTTGGGGCAAAAGCCGTGTCAGAGAACCATGCTTAGCGGGACACAGATATTCATGTTCCAAACCAGTTAGGTCACTGCAAGTGATTTTGGATCTTAAGCAGGTACTGGCCAGTTTTGTCAACATGGCAGAACTATAGATTACCCAAGACACATGTTCAACATTAAAATGTGTGTGTGCAAGGGAAGTGAGCCATTGGACAAATGTATCTGCTCCAGGGCCGTCCTGTGTACGTCTACCATTCCTGGCCTGAGCACCTGGCTGCTAGGCGGCCACACTTCACATTACTTAAGTGAAGTGTTTGCTTTGTGTGTCACGTGGTCCAAGCAGCAGCAGGAACAACAAAGTCAGCACCAAATGCATTACCGATATAAAAAAACAAACGCATTCTTGGTGTAAGGCATTAGCAAGATCACATTAAACATGCTAAAATGCTGTAATGCAAATGGTTAAGGACACTTTATAAGCACAAAAATAGAAGAAACAAAAACTCTGAACACTTCAAAAGATACAAAAAGGTGCCTCCCAACAGCAGTGCTTGAAAAATGCACACAATGGTATATTCTTATTGCTTAAGTAAAGTATTCCACAACAGGATGACTAAGCCCAGGGCACATTGAAGGAAGAGGAAACCAAAGTAGATTCAGCATCAGGTGACAGCACCAAACTTTTTCTGCTTTTAAAACTTTTGGTCCAAGTTGTACCAAGGCAAGTATGTCTGCATTTTCTTTTATATATTTTTAAGGACAACATGTTTCCTAATGGAAAACATTTTTCTTCATCATACAAATGGGTCAGGGCCAACAGTCGGTTTGAACACTTAAGTCCAATAAGTAACTTCCCATATCTTAACACTTCAAAATGTTTGGATGAAACTGCAATACTTCTCACACCAATTTTGACACAATTCTCTTCAAACTAACCAATATGTTTAAAGTACAGAAAAAAAGTCTTCCTTCACAGCATTCATGATATGAAGTTTATGATAAATGCCTCTTAGTAGTCAATATTTAGAGTTTTACCACCTGCGTTTTGTACATTGCACTGTGTATATTGTACTTAGTGTTTCAGATCTAGGAATTCCTCACCCAAGGAAATAATCTGGTAAAAATACTTTACCAAAGCGTTGAGAAGTTTACTGCATTAATTAAGTCATATCTCCCCTTTCGGGGTGGACTGTGCCTTTTGCTCTGTGCTGACTTCCAGGTACTTAATTGATGAATGCTTAAGCAATGCCTCCCTTTTTGTAAGCAACTGTAAAAATAAGGGTAGTATTTGCATGTACACTTATATTAAACCTTAACCTGCAAAGTATACATGCCACATCTGAACTGACACATTGGCAATGCCATATGTCAACCAAACTGAATTAAATTTGCAGCCAGATATGCTTCAGCTCATCCAGAATGCTTTCAAAGGAAGATGACAGGCTACAAGTTCAAAAAAAAAAAAGAAAATAAAGAAAGAAAAGCAGCCCAGAACACAGGATATTTGTTTTATGTAGAACTTGAGTTGGCCAAAGTAGACTCCACTGGGGTCTTTAAAAGTCACTCCCTACCTGCATGACTAGATTGCAGCCTTACAGCTGGATCCTAGGCTTTTATGCAGAGGGAAGTCCTGTGTTCAATGGGATTGACTCCTGAGCGAGCACAGAACTACTAAAGGGCAAGTGAATTGTTGGGCATTTTAATTCCATACACTCGCTTCTTAACCCTTTTCTATTGTCCAAATATATTTCACTCCAGCACCACTGTACAGCATTTTTTCTATGTATAGACCTAAATCTCAGTAGTATTACAACCAGAATGTTTTGGTAGTTTGTGTCTGTAGTTTTCAATCAACTGACAATGTACAGAGACCGGCATAACCTGTCAGTGCTGTATACCCGTCGCCAACTACCCAAAAAGGTCTTTGCCAATTTAAAGTGCCCCCTAATATCTTCATTTTTCAAAGGTAAAGGATTTTTCTGGTTAAGATACACAATCCAAATTTTCGTAATATATCTATATATATATATCTATATTTATCAGTTGACTGAAACAATAAATACAGATGTACAAAAGCATTCTGGTTATCCCCTATAACTGCAACAAAGTATTTCACAATATATTATATACCTACATTTATAATACATGCACCAACATGTCTCACGCTGACAGACAACAGTTGTTTTCCTGAACGGCAGGAAGAAAAAGTGTTAGTTTTGTCCACTCCACATGAAGGATTTTAAAACTGAAAGATTTCAGTCCACTCTTCTCCCCGAAAGACCAAATACAAACAGTAAACCATTTTTGGACTGATTCTGGAAGTGAATGCTATCATCATAGCTACTGTTAACAGCACTTTTTTTCTTGTGATTATGGATATCAGACAAGGAGTCACAATGCAAGCACGTCAGACCTAACGCTTGTAGCGTCTCCCAGAAGCCAGTGTGCGTCTCGCCCTCCATCACCAGTCTCTCGACAGTTTAGTGTTTTGATCTCTCTTTGGAGGTGCTGGAGGTGGGCCCCTCCTTAAAGTTGCATAGCCTGATATATGACTACCTCCAAAACTGCTGGTCTTCTGTTTGTCTGTTAGAAGTTCAGGTGGGGGCGGGGGCAAAGCCATGTCATCCATGGTTGCCATTGGCTCTGCTCTGGATATCCGGGCGGAGGAGAGGGAGCCGTGGCGGGTGATGGACTTGCGCTGCAGTGTCCTGTTCAGGTCAGCCAGGAAGCCTGGCTGAACACTAAGGCTGGATTTGGGCGAGGTGGGCACTTGTGGGGCAGTCGTGGTCACCTGTGCTTCCGCCATCTCTGCCTGTGTCAGTCGGGTGCTGTCGTTACGTTTGGGGCGGGTGGGAGGGGGAGCTTTCTTCACAGAGGATTTAGACCAGGGCTGAGGCTGGGGATTGACAACAGCCACTTTTGGAGATGTATTGCCTGAAAAAACCGCAGGAATCTCTACGGGCGGTAGAGGAAGATCTATTTCAGGAGGCGGAGGAGGAAAGTCTGAATCCGATGGAGGAGATGGAAACTCTTCTACGGCACCCTTTCCAGGTGGTTTTGCTGAAATCCCTGCTTGCTGAAGTGCTATAGGCAGAGTGAGCTTTCCTGGCTTTGGAGGAGCTGCAGGGGGATTTGGAGACTCCTTGGAGGGAGACCCTGAAGGCTCTGGTGGATGTGCAAATTTGCTAACCAGGCTGTCCACAGAAGGTCTTTTAGACTCGTGATACTCTGCCGAGCTGTTAGACTTTATGCTGGAGTTGCGCTGTGGGGTGGGGGGTGGTTTCTTTCCGCCAGGACTGGATGACTTCCCAGCTTTTTTAACTGGAGAACCCCCTGTCTTATCTGGCGTGGGAGAGACTACCAGGGGAGAAGGAGAAGGTGGAGGTGGAAATGCCAAACTACTTTCGGGAGGAGGAGGAGGAAAGTCAGGAGAGGGGGCAGAGGTGGGCTGCCATTTGGGCTTGGCTTTCACTGCTGGAGGAGATGGCGGTGGCACACTCAGAGGGGCTGGTTTTAAAGGTTGGGGCTCTGAGACGGGCAAGGGAGGAGGGGGGAACTGGCTGGCTATTTGCTTCACAACTGATGGTACAGGGGATTGTGGGGAAGGAGGAAGCTTGCTGGAGTAGTTCTGCTGCTTGGGTAAAGTGGGTGGTGGAGTAGGGCCCAGAGGGACAGGAGATAATGGAGCTGGGGGGGCTGTGAAACTTGGCTGCTTCTTTACTGCTGAAGGAAGAGGAGCTGTGGGTGTGGGATGAGTCACCACAGGAGAGGCCGCTTTTGTGCTGTTTTGTGTAGGTAGAGTCATAGCAGGTTTAGGGGGAGCCTGCGGAGGTGGGGGCGCAGGAATTGCGGGAGGAGGCGGCGGCGAAGCAGTAGGCTGAGGAATGCTCTGATGAACCTGGTGGATTTTCAGAGGAGGGGCAGGAGGTGGGGGCGGTGTGAACAGTGGTACTGAAGGGGCAGAAGGCACTGGCTTCATGAGCTGTGCCATGGCTGATCCTGGAGTAGGAGGTGGTGGAGGGGGCGGTGGTGGAGGGATCACTCCATTTGGGGGTAAGAGGTTCTGTGGTTTTCCTGGTGGTGGGAGTGGTGTTGATTGGTGCATCATAAGGGATGGCTTGAAGAGAAGACCACCATGCTGAGCAGCATTTTGTAACCTTGTTATAGTGCTGTACTTCACAAACACTGTGGCCGATCCACCTCCGGATGACAAAGACTGGCTGGGGAGAGGGGGTGGGGGCGGAGGAGGGGGGGGGGGGGGGGGGGGGGGGGGGGGGGTGGCGATGGTTGTGAGGCTGTGAATGGGGCAGCGGTTTTAGTCTGTGGAGACAAAGGTGGGGCAAACGGAGGAAAGGGTCGGTTCATTGAGTCCATTCTAGCCTGAAAGGAAAAATATATAAAATATATATTCAGACACATATTTACAGCATACAGTAAAGTATGTAATACTGAATAAGAGGTGTCATACAGCCCATGGATGGGCCATGTGGTAAGCTCTAAAACCATGTGCCACAGGTCCTGCATGGTCACAATCCTACTAAGGAGGACTGGATATAAGAGATGTCTCTCCTTGCTGTTAATGTTAATCCTTCCAACGGCAGAAGGAAAGAAACCCCAATGTATCTGTAGAACATGTAAGCAAACAGATAAAGATGATCATTACAGAGGGAAAGGGGTGAAAACGATAACGACTTTCATATCATTGTGCTGGAAAGACAGTCAAAGCATGCATGATATATATTTTATGGGGAAAACCAAAAATTCAAACAAAACATGAAAAATACCTATGAGTTCTGGTCAAGATATTAAAGTAATTCATTTTAACGACATTATATTAACCTATAATCCTAGAGCATAAAATGAAAATTAATGTTTTACAAATGTCTTGTCCTTATGCGGTTTTTTTGAGCTACGAATGTCTGTGATTTAGATTATGCACTACAGAGAGTAAGCCTTTGAAATTCAGCAAACCACAGCACCATTTAAATTTTTCACTCTGGGAAGAATTTTCCAGTAACCTATGCTAAACCAGAACTATAATAGATTAATAATAAATGTGGGGATGCATGACACTGTTAAATTAGGCCATTAGGGACTCAGGCACTTGTGCACTAAATCACATGTGTTTACAGATTAGGACTCTGGGAAAAAAAGTTAGTCTGCTTGATTGTGGTTGCACCATTCACCCAGGTTAATAGTTCGAACAAGGCCCCTGACCTTAACTCTAGCCCTGCTTAAGCCATCACTGCAGTGGAGCTCTGAGCTGATCCGGGTTTGGCATTTGCCACACGAGAGACTGCGAGGCAACAGGAAAAACAAAAACAAAACACAGCGTGAACCACATGGGACCAAGTGACAAAATAACCAAGGGAGTGACAGGAAGCTACGGTTTCTGCAATGGCACATTCTCAACATGTCTGAGACTTTATCATTTCACACTTAATATTTCAAGGCTTTTTTGTTTGTGGGAATCAAGACTTGCAAGCAAGGCTGAGCTTTACAATGGTACCAACAAAGATTCTGCAAGTACTATCAAGTACAGTAGAATCTCGCTTATCCAACCTTCGCTCCTCCAATGTTCTGTATCATCCAATGCAGTTTGCCTCCCACCCGAAATAATGTCCAGGGTGGGAAAAAGAAAGAAACCGTGTCTGTTTTGGTGCTAAATTCGTAAATGCAGTAAATTACTACATAATGTTACTGTGTATTGAACTGCTTTTTCTGTCGATTTGTTGTAAAACATGATGTTTTGGTGTTTAATTTTCAAATCATAACGTAATTTGATTTTTAATAGGCTTTTCCTTAATCCCTCCTTATTATCCAACATTTCCGCTTATCCAACATCCTGCCGGCCCGTTTTTGTTGGATAAGCGAGACTCTACTGTAATGTCAACCGCATATACTTACACTTATCTTACTGGACTCTTCCAGCTGAGTACCCCGTTTCCAGGCCTCTGAAAAGATTGAACTAACAATGCTTTGCGAACGGACATGTCCGATTTGGGTATCTGAAAGTCCACTATCGGATTGATTAGAATGATTGGATTGAGATTCTGTTGAAAGAAGTGTTAAAAAAACATGTCTGGCATTTCTGTTCAAAGGAAACCAACAAAAATCAACTTTTATTTTAATTCTAAAGGAGCGTTTACACATTCTTCTGTGGGGTAACTGAAGAACAGCAGTATGGTTTAACACTTCTATAAATGTTCAAAACTGTTGTCTTAAAGTGAGAAAAGGCGCCCCTGCTTAAGAATAAACCTGTCTCAACTTGACTGTCAAGCATATAATCTAAACAAGCTCTCAATGTACTCATTTTTTAAACCCACTTCCAGTTTATTTCATTTTTAACTTTAGATAATACTTTTCTAGTTTCAAAAGGGGGAATGTGGGAAGATGGAAATGCATATTTTGTTGCAGGTAACTGAACCATGCCTTTAAAACACTGCATTTAGACAAGCCTATCTGTATTTTGAGGCTTACTGCCACTTACCTGGCAAACTGGATGAGCTGGACCCTGACTTAATACTTGAGCTGGATAGGGATGTCCAATCATATGCTGATTCTGTCCTTTTCAGAGCTTCTTGATAGTTTACATACAGTTGTTTTCCATACTAAAGAAAAAAAAACTGGCAATGTGATTACCCCACAGTGGGTATTTCCCAATTGCATCATTTAGTCCCAAAACTATCCAACTCACACCCATCTGAATAACCTTTAATTTCAGAGCAGACAGTTGCTCCTGACAAAGCTAGTACTGTAAGGAATACCTGTGGCAAAAATATGATTTCAAACTGGAGGCTTCGTGTTCCAAGTCATCACTGTGTTACAGGGATAAAACCACCTAATACGGTACTGCATTTAAACAGCCTTTCTAACACTGTTGGAGACAAATCTCCTGATATACTGCCCTTCTTGATCTATGTGAGCCTATATTGAGCAACGGAAGGGCTTTGAAGTTGAACTGGGAGGTAAAACAGCACCCTACGTATGCACGAATATGAAGGTTGCTTCCATAGAATTCAGAGAGGGATACTGTTATTGGGCAGCTAACTAATATGACAAATTAGGAATAGAACATTTTCAAATGTAAATATCTGGAATTTCTGAGATATGAGAGTGTTGCTGTAAATATGCCATTGTTTTCCAGGTTTTGTAGTCTTTAGTATGGTTTTATTTATTCAGACAGAAGTGGAGTCCCCGAGTATGTTTTATAAAGTTCTGCTAAAGAAGGCATACTGAATCCCGTGAGATACATAAAGAGAATCCATATTGGTATTTTTCACTAGTTTCAGGTGAGTCTCCATTTGTAAATCTATACCATCCAAGGTGAAGAAGAGGGGTTTATTATTGGCATGGTTGCATCAGTCAGGTTTAAATCTGTTTGCTCACTCACAAAAAATTACTCTCCTATACCTTTCCCATTACTTTCATATCTCTTGATAAATCCTTGCTTCAATTAACTGTACTTTCCCCAAGCACATGGAAGGAGAAGGATTGAAACTAAAAGCTACCGTTTCAACTGGCTTGGAAACGCAGTGGCTGCCATTTCTCTCTCCTAGATGGTATCTCCGGTTGATTTGTATCTTGATTTGTAAGGATGACTTTAAGCTTTGCTGCCATTGTTGATTATATTTTCCTTCTCTTATAATGGACAACATTTACAAAAGATTTTCTCCAGAGGGAGTGCCCAATCACAAAGCTTGTGAAAAGATGTAAAGCTTACCTTAGCAATACGGATGCCATTTACCCATTGATGAAGGGTTCTTATATCATCACAGCATAAATATTTAATATATTGGGATTTTTTTTGAATTTGAGGATGCTGAAAAAGAAATATTTGATCTAATTAGTTCAAATTGGGTTAAAAACAACTGTAAAGATTTAAGACTCTTTCCAGGAAGACAGATCGACCATGTTAAAAATAATTACTATAGTCAGAATACAACTAGATTTTCTGATTATGTCAGTATAAAACTTGCTATATTTTCACACAGACGCATTAAAACGACTGAAAGGAAACAGCCTCTGAGTTTTGTTAGTAATTTCCCTTGGAAAAGGTACTTCTACTCAATCTGTGTTTAAGGTGATGCAGTTGGCCCTCCATATCTACAAGTTCTGCATTCATAGATTCAACCATTCACAGCGTGAAAACATTAGTTATCTATTTATTATTTATTTACTGTGTTTATATACCGCCGTTCTCGCCCGTGAGTGGAATCAAAGGGGTTTACAACATACTAATGGCAAAATTTTAATGCTAACATACAGTACACAAAGAAATCATAATAACTAATTACTACATATAACTATGAACTTAAAATCAATTAAAACCATTAAACATATGGCATACATGAAATTTAAACATTCAGACAAAGCATAAAATCATCCTAGTATAAACATTAAAATTCCATGATCCAGAAATCATATACTCAAGCACACAATGTTGAAAGAGATTCATGTTTACAATTAATAAGATAGGCACACTGGTATATAGACAAGCTGTATTTTACTATCTCTTTTCGTGCTCTTTTCCTTTTCTCTTCCAATCATTTGTGACATTGGTAGATGCCATGCTGATGTTACCTTTAGTACTAGACAGTAATCTGTAGGGGCTTTATACTTGTTGCGATAGTCTTGCCCGTAGTAAACATTGACATGGTCTAGCTGAAGAAAACAGACAAGATCTCGCGAAACCTAAAAACAGAAACATATCTGATCAGGAGAAAATAAAATAGATAGACCAACCATTTTATCACTGCCTCTTGGACATGCAGCCAGCTGTACATGAAAACCAAACAATTTCTCCTACTAAACACTGATGTGCTACTTTCAGGAAATTAGTCTCAAAAGGAAAGCTTAGGCAAGATTTGAATTGCTAGTTTTACAATCACCGAGTTACAAATGTCTGACTTACAAACATTTCCTAGTTAAAAATGGGGGTGAGACAAAAGGAAATGAGAAAAATCTACCCCTTGGAAGGGAAATTCTCTCCTGGAAGAGTCATCATGGGAAAAAGGTTTCTCCACTGAAGCTTTATCACCAATTCTTGTTTACACAACAAGTCAAAGTTTTCAAAATTCAATTATCACAGGAAAAGAAAATGAGCGAGATCTTCTGACAGCGAAATAACCACAGGGGTTTTCACCCTTTTGCTATCCAAAGCTTTAAAAATTATACATTTTGATCAAGTTACACTTTAAAAATGGACCTGTTGCAACTTACAAACAAATTCAACTTAAGAACAAACCTACAGAACCTATCTTGTTTATAACTTGTGGACTGCCTGTATATATTTCTGTGCATGACTCAATAGACTGACAGCTCTAGGACCACCTTTTGTAGTAAGAACCTAGCCGTACCTCGAGGTTGGAATCAGGCAAGACAAGTGTATACACTAGAACGCACTGCATGCCCCTGCATTTGTGTGTACGTGCACAAATACCCATACATAGAGTCGGTTTTGAAGTTCTGTTTCTCCTCTTCCAGAGGCAGTCATTCTACAACTCTCATATCTACCACCATCAGAAAATGTCTTGATAGGATACATTCAATGAGCCTTCTCCCTCAATTTCCAGAAGAGGTCTAATCTCCAGACAAAGTGTTAAACCATAAACATCATCTAGCAGTGTTTTGACAATTCCTATGTAACGACCAGTGTTACTGTTTGAAACAAAAAAGTAACCTGCAATAACATTTCCATAAAGATTTCAAATTTCTGACTAAGCCAGTTTTGCTTGAAAAAGGAGACGTTTACCTTTGCCTTCCCTTTTGGAACATAATAGATTCCGGAAGCTCGCAAAAGAAAGTAACGTTTCTTCCAAGACTTTTTGCCATCATCTTTCAGCCACAACACCCCTTCAATCTCTGGCACTGTTACTGAGCTTCCACAAAAACACTCCTAAAACAGGAGGAAAATTTATTAGAAAATTTATTTTAACCTTGATTTTTATACTAAAGCTTCAGGTTCTCCTTCTCTAGCCATTTAAATATGCCAGAGATTTTAGTCAAAAAGGCGAACCAAAAACTTGGGTCAATTTATCCATAGGTCAACGTAAATACTGCCCCGTAATTCTTATTTAAAAAAGGAATCACCTTCTCTGAGCAGAGTGAAGAAAGCCAATCCTGGAAAAATCTAAAAGATGCACTGATCCCTCTACTCTCTTTGCCATAGTGCCATTGATGGCTTTTCTGAATGCTGTCTGGGCGGAAAAATGGGATAACTGGCTCCTTGGAATGGATATTGCTTTCCCTTCTCTGTAGAATAACTTACTCATGGGTCAAATGAATATCCCAAATTTTGATCCCCTATACTGTATATTGCTGTTGTCATCTCTTTGCTCTCTGTATAATTTCTGCATGCCTTTCTGGTCTTTCCTTTTAATGAAACCAACTTTCCTGTTGAACTGCTTCTGAGTCACTACATTCTCTCTTTTCACAGGCTCAGTCAATGCAGCTCCTTGAGTAACCCCTGGCTATGGGACCTGTGGCTGTTTTGATATTGTTACGCCATTCCTATTATTATTACGTAGCATAGCCAGTGGCTAGGCATGCTGCGAGGGGCAATTCTGTAATATCCACAGATTCTCCATCCTTGCTCAAAACTTCCTCTTATTTCTAAGTTGCTCAAAGCACTGAGGCATAAGTTTCATAGATGGGAATGCTTTCAACATTAGCAGATACTACTTCACACATAATGTAAGGTAATAATAAACAACTATATTACAAATAGCAATATACTATGAATGTTCAATCCACTGGAAGACTTGTGCAAAACCTTGAGGAATTTCTAGATCTTCCAGTAAGACCTTATGCTTACTTCTGGCAGATGTTCAATTCAACAGGGGTTGCTATTATCTATGGCTTCCTATTTCCACAGTAAGTTCAGGAACTATTCCCCCACAAATCCAGGCACTATAAATGGCAGTCATTTATGGCAGTAAAATGACTGCCATCTCATCAACATTGTGGAATATCCTACCTCCAGTAGTACTTCTTTGTTCCTGTCTGCCATTTCAGAGGTTTCCCTTTTCCCAAGAAGATAATTCTATAAGAAAGAAATTGCGACATCATTTGTAGCATCTAAAAAAATTCAGAAGTTCAACTGTTATCTTATCACTTCTTCTCCTCAATGCGTGTGAATTCTAGGCTTCCAAAAACAAGGAAGTTGCAATATTTGGTATTTTATCCTCCTTGGGTTTTAGATATTAACAGTAAGTTTTATAATATGTGTGTGTGTGTTGTGAGAGAAATAATGCACAGCACAGAAATAGCTATTTTCATATCTCTCCCAGTGATAGAAAAATTGCTTAACATTTTAAACTATATAGTCATTGACTCAAAATTAAGCCTCAGTTTTCAACAGGCCTCCCTCCCTTGTAAATTTATATCAATTCTAGAAAAAACCTCAGCCCAAACCTTCCAGAATGGTAGAATCGGAGCAACCACTGATCTAAGAAGCCACCAAGATGTACTGTATATACTCAAATATAAGCCGAACCAAATATAAGCTGAGGCACCTAATTTTACCACAAAAACTGGGGACACTTATTGACTCGAGTATAAGTCTACAGTGGAAAATGCAGCACGTACTGGCAAATTTCAAATTAAAAATAGATACCAATAAACTTACATTAATTGAGGCATGCAACCTCTCCTCTCCTCTCCTCTCCGCACAGCAACCCAGCTGGGCTGCTATGCTGAGAAGAGAGGCCGCACGCCTTCCTCTCCTCTTGTCTCGGCACAGAGATCCATCTAGGTTGCTGTGCCGAAAGGGGAGGCATGCAGCTGGTAGAAGCCCTGCAAAGGGGTTTTTTTCGGCCCCACATCTTCCTGCCAGAACCCTCACTCGAGTATAAGTCAAGGGGGTCTTTTTCAGCATAAAAATGTGCTGAAAAACTAGGTTTATACTCGAGTATATACAGTAATTATAAATTCATTATAAGCTAAGACTAGATAGGATCAATGTTCATTTACCAGTTCATGGAAAATGCTGGATACTAGTATCTCACTCTATAGCTGTATAGTAGGCATCCTGCTGGAGACACATGCAAGGTGGTATGTTTCCCTTACTTCTCTGAGCATGTGGAGGTTGCTACAAAGTTCTCTTGACTTACTGAACAGCTTCTAAAGCCTCTCAAACATGTGCTTTGTGGAGAGCAGGTAGAATTGCAGAAGGATCTGGCTACATTTCCACATCTATGTGCAAAATCTGGGTCCTATGGAGGGCTCAGTACTTTTACAATCATATCATGTTGATCTGGACATATCAAGATGATTCTGTGATTCTGTCCAAGATGGGGAAGGGGGCTTTAGAGGCTCATCAGTAAGTAAAGGGTGTCAGTATATCACTTTCCCTACTGTATGTGGAACTGCTATGCCATGCTAAGCTATATAGGATTATGGCCTAACACATGTTGATAAGTAGCCAATGTAATGACATACAGAATTGCCATTTCTAGCAACTGGGATAAGACTAAAATTCTTTTTCCTCTACCTCCATTGCTGTACATCAGGCAGGATGATATACTTCTAACATGTTTAGCCAGCTTCACTCCCAGTGTACATCCCTTGCATTCTAACTAGTGTCCAAAAAATATAAAATGCTAGAGGGCTGAGCAAGCACCACAGTGTTAAGAGAGGAACATCGGTCAATTGCCCTTTGCACCTCAGACAAAGGCTTTCCCAAGACCGATAATCAACTTGGAAGGTTCCTCAAATGTTCGTGAAAATTATTTTCCTCAAACAAATAAATCCAGTTAGGGACCTACTTTCAGTTCAAGGGTTGACTTCCATTTGAAAAAGAATCCAGTGGTAAACAGCGCCAAAAGCAAAAAAGTGCGGCTAAAAATGCTGCCATAATTTTGCTTCAAGCTCTTACTGAATATAACTGAGAATCCAGAGAGGCATATCAAGTTTCTGGAATGGGAAGAGGCCCACACAAAACCACCAAATGGTCTCACGGGGAAAAAGGTATTGACTGTGAGGTTATGTCCTCAAGACTACCCAAGAAAGCCAGATTTAGCAGAAGAATGTGAGGCTCCCCAACCCTGCATTCAATGTTTCATGAAAATCCCTCCCATTACTTTGTCTGTAATTTTTGTTTAAATAAATTCTGTCAATATTTCCTCCTGAGCGAATCGAATTTAATGCACTAAAATGAAGAACAAGTAGCAGAAAAAGTATCATACTTACTTGAGGATTTTTGAAAAGTGCATATTTTTCTATACGTTCAACAAACATAAGTTTATTTTGGCTGTCTCTTGTCCAGTTGAGGAGGTTTTCAACTAAATTTTCATGGTCTTCGAAGATTCGCTCTACACAATTACAAAAGACATAATAAATATTTAAAGCACGAAAGCCCAGGCTCTTGCTTTTGCTTGTATTAGAAAAGATACATATTTTTCAATTATATAACTTCTATAAACCACCTGGTATACACAGGTGCTTTTTCTATCAATATCAATAATAAAAACAAACTACGGTCCAAATCATATTTAATCCAGTTATGAAAGAACACGAGCTTCTTTGCTGCAGCAAATATTTCACTTATTTTGTAAAATTAGAGCCAGCCATTTCAATATAGAAATGTTGTCTCTCTCTGTCTTGTGGTTTCTCTGGACTTGGTCATTATAGTCCATATCCCTAAATGACATAGATCCGATTTCATATAATAGCAGCCTATCACTCTTTTAAAACCACAGATATAAAGAAATGCTTGCATGTAAACAGGGTCTCCACATGTACCATCTGTACATAAATAATATATATTCTCTGGGTGGGACTGCAGAAATAGCTCTGGTGGCCCATGCAGCCCGTAATTTCCATCCCTCCTATATAGAATTTATTTCTTTTGTAAAACTTGCAAAGCCAAGCGTAGTTTTGTCTAACAAAATGCACTGTAACAAAATAGAAGCTGGATCATGTTCAAAGCTGAAATGAAATGCCCACAGAGGTCTTTTATTTACACCATGACAATTTTTTCAAGTTGTAAAAACACAAGCACACTGTCAACATGGAAGCTTTTAAAGGGAAGTGAAAAGCAGAATGACTAGAAGGAGAAACAGAATGGAGTCACTGGAAAGAGAAAGTCACTGGTTGCTGATGACACGATAAATAAATACTGGAAAGAGAACATGCAAGGGAACAACAACACACTGAAGTAAAAAGGATAGAAGAGTCCACCTCATTATCTAAATAGGTCATTCTGAAATTCGCATATTTTCTCTTTCAATTATGATCTCCTCCTAACTTTTGCTATGACATTTTTGAATTGCCTTCATAAGAAACAGCTACATTTTTAAAAAACACATCAGATAACTTCCTGGAATTTTAAAAGACGACTCCAATTCTACAAGTCCCTGAGCTGCGATGAAACAAATTTTGAAAATTGAAAACTCAAATACATGATCAAGCTGGCAAAGAATCCTTTAACATGATTAAGTACCAGCAACATTCTGTATCAGTTTAGAATAACAAATATTTCAAGATTTACTAACCCATTTGTAATTCTGAGATGGTTTCCACCAGAGACCAGTCTAAGCTAAACCCGCAATGAGACTTGTCCATCAAGTTATCCAGCACTTGCCGTACTGTCTGCCTTTCATCTACCATCATTGTCTTGGAGCTGTCATCAGACATATGCACTCGTATTACAAGCTGTACATGGAGAAAAGGAAGAAGGGGGTTGAGAATCAGACAAACAGAACTCAAAACCATACAGATTATGCTATCTCTTTTGCACTGAAGTATTTTCTGTTTAGAACTATTTTGCTGTCAATTACTTTCAATAATCCATAAATGTGGCACCTAGAATTTTGGCTGAGTGAATTACTAATCTGTAAATGCTTATAATTGTCCTGTTGGTATTTAAAAACATATTTAATACTTGTAAAGTAAGGGAGATCCAAGTCATCAATTGACAAAAAATATCAATAATTACAGTTCTCTGTAAAAACAATGACATTTCGCTGCCTATGTGAACACACCACAATGTTGGGTTAGAACCACAAATACGGATATGGAACATATGATTTAGTACTTCCAATTAAAAGAGGCATTTTATGAAATCAAATGACTCAGTGATAGAGTCCCCTTATTAATACTATCTTCTAGTCAAGGACTATATCGTGATATGATGTAAGCTTCAGCAACACTTTGGAGGATAACTCAAGATAAAAGGGTGATGTGAATACAGTACAACCTGCATATCCCTGGGGAATATGTTCCAAGATCACTACTACCACCTTCTGGATACCTGAAACCGAGGATTGTACTGAATCCTACATTTTGCCTACACTTGTCAGGGAAGCATACTGCAAAATAATACAGGAAGGCCCCGAGAGGCCGACAAACCCTCACAGGGAAGCAGGGGTGGTTTGGGAAAGTGGGAATGAAACCATAGATATTGAATCTATGGGTAAGGGGGGATTGCATTGCATATCGCAATATGTATGTGTAAGTGAAATAATACACTCAAAAAGAAAGAAAAAACCCTAGTATTTCAGATCAGACTTCAATTGTACACTGCATAAAGATGGAACTAAGATTTACCTTCTTAACTTGTGCTTCTTTAATCTTCTCTAAGGCAACCCTGATCTTTTCAGCCTTTAACTTTGCAGCTTGTTCCTCCTGTGGGAAAAGAAACTTTTATTTAACTAGCTGATACCAAGCAAAGTTTTAAGTACTTCTATCTTTCCAATACTAACTGCTTACTTGCAACAATCGCTGGACAAAACCGAAAGGCAACCCCTTGCCCCCTTTGCAGTCTAGCATACTATTGGTTGGCTCCCTTATCCATCCCATCAGCCTTTCCTCCCACCTTCCCAGTTGTAAGTATTTCAAGATATTTCAGTTATAATGCACAAATTCCAACTATATAATGCACAAATTCCAACTATGTCTTCCCATTTTAAAATTACTTCTTCCCTTATCAAAGGCAGCACCTATGTTAAGCCATTCTTTTTAAAGTATTTTTATTTTTATTGATAAACACATGCTATCGGTGTTCGGTTTTACCTGATCTAACAAAGACACAAGCCCTTTTTCTCGACAGTTGCCCTTCCAAAGTGCATCTTTCTATATACGTGCTCTTCTAGCCACATGTAGCTACTTCCTGTCCCATCATTTTCAGTTTGTACTACAATGAATAGTGGAAAAGGCAACAGCTGCTGATAGCAATGGCCTTGTTCATAAGGAACACAATCATCTTAGATGAAAGTGACGAGGCAGATTGATAGCAACGATAAATGGGCCTGAAACATTATCTGAATAGGCAATTAGGCAGAAAACAAAGGACATCATTAAGCTGGTGCAAGAGTCCATTCTTATTTGGCATTAAGATGGTTTCATGTGGCTTGAAAAGCGATGCTAGCATTACAATTTTGTAGCACAAATTTCATCAGGAATTAAATGTATATGAAAAAAAGTATAGAAGATAATGCAATGCTTAAAGGTCACATCCTCCTTTACAGGAACTCCCTTAAATATCCTCAATTTCAAGGAAAACTATGTGTTTTTGAAGTCTTTTATGGCCAGAATCACTGGTTGCTGTGAGTTTTCCAGGCTGGATGGCCATGTTCCAGAATAATTCTCTCCTGACGTTTTGCCTCACAACCTCTGAGGATGCCTGCTTACAACAACTTACAACAACCTCAAGGATGACTGTTCGCATTTGATGCTGCTTATTCAAAAGAAAATGTGCCTGAATGGAGAATTCTATGCTACAGGTGGGTCCCACAGAATTCATCAGGTACGGCACAGCATTTCCTGTCCTGCTTTGTGCCTCACTCTGCAGTAGCAGAAGAAGTACAACCAACCATGATATCTCTCAACTCAAGAAGTGTCTTTGGCCAACCATTCACACCTGCTTCCTTAACATGTTACTCAAAAGTATACTCAGTAGTATAGCCCTGAACACCTGATGCAAGAAAAAACAGAGGCTTACAGACTAAAATAAAATATCCCCTGGTGTTGTATTCAATGGGGTGATAGAATAATATTTTATTCCATTTCAGAATGTATAGTATGTCTACTCCTGGCCTATTTGCCTGTGGAAAGGTTGTTTTACTGGAGCATAGTAAGACTGATTCATAGGCTATTTTTTTAAAAAATAGATGGAATTCCCAATATCTACTTCCCAACCTCCTTTTTTCTTGTGTTTTCTGCCTTTTTGGACTGTAAGCCTGAGGGCAGAGAACTACCAAATTAACCATGTTTGTGCCACTCTAGGATTTTGTTTTGCTAAATGGAGGGATATAAATGCTTTAAATGCATAAACATGTTAGGATTAGATGAGCAAAGTTCACCACTGATTATTCCATTCCCTCCTATCTACAAAATAAATGGACAAAAAGCCAGCAATGGTGCAACAGCTTTGCAAACAAAGCATGACTTTGTGAGCTTAAAACACGCTCAGAGGTCAGCATTCTCATTGATCTATCATCAGTATCTGCTGAGGAGGGCCATTTGATTCTTTAACATTGAACTGAGAGGGATTGTAGACAATCAGACCAAAAGCTGTGTGAGTGACTGTCCAGCTATTCCTGTTATTTAAGCGCTTACCGATATGTATAAAAGTCAAAGTGTGTATGTATATTTGTTTGTCTGTTTGCACCTCAAAGACTGTTGTTTGGTGAAGTGCCCCCCTGTGATGTCACTGGAAAAAAAAGGTGACATGTGCATGAGAGGAAGGGAGGGGAGAAAGAGAAGAGAAGAGAAAGAAAGAAAGAAAAAGAGAAGTAGGGGGAAGAATGAAAAAGGATAGAGGGAAGGAAGTAAAGAAGTGTGAGAATAGAAAGAGGAAAGGGTATGAGGGGAAGGGAGAGAAGAGAAGAGAAAATGGGAAGAGAAAGGAAGGGAAGAAAGGTAGGCCTTTTCAGAGCTGGAGAAAAAAGGAAGTAGGTGGGCAGTGGTTCCAGGTAAAACCGAGTATATCTAGTTACTAAAAAGTGAAAAACCTACATATTGAACCAGCTTTCTTGAATTCATTTCCACTGATGATAAAACCGCCTTCTCGAGGTTCTGTATCACTCAGGCCTATATCCTAAATTAAGTCCTGACTAGTGTATCAATGAAATATACCTTGCATGTCAAGTCAACATTCCACAATTAACTGAACAGGTCTGTAAGTTGGAAGTAACTAACGGTGTTCTCCGTATGGCTGAAGAATGTTGTCAAAATACATTAAGCTCTGCCTATATCTATCTATCTGTCTATCAATCAATCAATCAATCTATCAATCTAGACCAGAGCTTAGAAATTACAATTTACAAGTAACATAATTAAGAGGTTTAACTATTCAAAGCTTTTTTTGGATCATGAGGGTGTAACAAAGTTACATTTTAAACCCACTGTAAGAGGGTTTTTTTTTCGTGTCAGGAGCGACTTGAGAAACTGCAAGTTGCTTCTGGTGTAAGAGAACTGGCCATCTGCAAGGACATTGCCCAGGAGACGGCCAGATGTTTTGATGTTTTATCATCCTTATAGGAGGCTTCTTTCATGTCCCCACATGAGGAGTTGGAGCTGACAGAGGGAGCTCATCTGCACTTTCCCTGGATTTGAACATGCGACCTGTCGGTCTTCAGTCCTGCCGGCACAGGGGTTTAACCCATTGCACCACAGGGGGCTCCTACTGTAAGAGTAAGATCATTTTATAGGTTTAACAAGTTATTTTCAAAAGTTACTTTTGAGAATAATTTTATGTAATTGTCCTGTGAATCTGAAACAAAGTTTCTGGAGTATAGAAACTACTTTCAAAGTAAGTATCATACAATTAAACAGGAATAATGATTTCAAATCAAGAACAGAAAATGTTTCAAATGTTTTGTTACATAGTGTTATCACTATTATTTATGGAACAGATTTTTTTTTCCAATGTGTGTTTTGTTGGATATGCAAGGAAGGAAAGTGAACAGATTAACCTGCAAGAATGAAAATAAAATAGAACCATACAACAGGAAAATTATTCTTTTGAATAATGTTCTCTAAGTCCGAGGTTCAAAATTTATTTTTCAAAAGTTTTTCCACTACTCATTACATTTTCAGAAGTAATCATTTAAATTTTCTGTTTGCCTGTCGGTCATGGTGATTATTTTAAACAATTAACTTGCTGCATTAGTTATTACATTGCTCATGACTTCTTAATTACTTTTTTTTTGGGGGGGGGGTTGTGTGCGAGGAGTTTTTGTGCCTGCCACACATCACATTGAATTGAAGCTTGGTCAGACATTTATTGAAAAACTATAGCAAAATATGCTGCAGGATGTCCCACAAAAACAAAGTTTTAGCAGTTTAATAAACTTTTCCATGTTTTTATGATGGAACCACTTAGGAAATGACATTTATAACCCAGGGACAAAAATCATGTTACATAGTGCAATAGGAACAATAGGAACAATCAAGTAAATTTCATGTTTACAGCCACATCATTGTAGCCACTATACATTAGTTTATATGCAAAGCCAAACCATGACCCGGTACCATAGCAATGCTCCCTGTGCTTCCATGCATCTGTATGTACCATGTTTCACACATTTCTAACTAATTTGAACAAGCCTAGTTTGCTGTTATAATCTTCACTGACATACTATAGTTTAAATTTTCCCTCCAACCAAGAAGGAAAACTATTTTCAAACTGGTTTGCCAATTTGGCAACTGCACATCAGGGAATTATTTACTGTGACACTGTCAACTCTCTAACTGAATGTAAGCACATTCATACATTTTTGGAGAGTCACAAATAATTACTAATATATTCTGGTTACATCCTCTCCCCCACCTATATATTTTGAAAAACAAAATACTACTGCGCAGTTTCCTAACATAAATACGATATCTAGAATGAAAACTGTTTCACAGCTAGTTCTAAAGGATTTTATGTTAATTTTTCTCAGCCCTCAATTTCATTAAACTCCTTTCTTAGGAAACAGGTCGTCTACTATCCCAGCAGAAGCCCCCTAAGCAGTTCTTCTATTCCAGCCATTAGTGAAAATAACTGATACTATAATTCAAGAAGTCCTTCAGGGTTATTGCAATGTTCATTTATTTAAACTATTTCTATAATGACATTTTAGGGCAATGTTTCCATATAGTGGTTCACAAAACATTAAAACAATAATACATTCAAGCACTTTAAAATAACTGAAGGGGTTTTGCAAATCTTTTAGAATGTTTTAGAATGAGTCCCCTTGGGGAGATAGGAACGGGATATAAATGAAGTCGATTATTATTATTATTATTATTTAATTTTATCTGATACTAAGGATGAATAAACCCTATGTGTTTCACAGTCTTGGACAGCCCACCAGATGCACAAGGAAAACAACTGCTAATGTTGCAGTGACTCACTGATTAGTCTCTATGACAATTTGATTACTTGTGAAGTGGGTTCATACTGGGTGAGAACAGCCTATAGCAATTACTCATTAAAAGCTATCTAGACTTTAGATGAATGGAAGTGAGGATGAAAGTTTTTTCCCCATTCACACACACACTCTCTCACATCAAACCCATTATTTGCTTATAAAGAACTACAATTAAACTAAACTAACTGACAATGCACCAATGGACTGATGAGTTCTATTCTGCTGCTCTAGAAAATAGCTCTTTCATGCAACTCACTGCTTATTTTT